TATTTAGATCCATTGACATCATTACAGAGTCTGTAAAGATCCCGTAAATGCAGCCGCTGGTGAGGAGCCAGAAGGATTTCCTACACAGGTTTTCCTGCTGATATAGATGTGTCCTGCCAGACTACAACAATCAAGAGCCCCCATCATGCTCTTTGTGAGAGTGGGCCTGATGACACCATCACTGCTCTCAGGGGAATGGCCTTTAACCCCTTCGTGACGGGAGACGTACAGTGTACGTCTCGGCACTTTATGCCTATATGACTGGCCACGTACACTGTACGTGAGGAGTTATATCAGGCTTTGTAATGCTGGTAACAGCTGATTCTCAGCAGTTACCAGTCAGTAATGAATGCCTCAGTATTGAAGCATTCATTAATGAAATAATTAAGCTTTTTGTAAAAGCTTCTTCCTTTCATTAATGAAAGAATAAAGCCATTACATGCAAATACAGGACCACAATTTGCGATCCTGTATTTGACAGCTGAAAATAGCAGAGAGGTAGCAGTGACTCACCTCTCTGCTATTTGTTTTGACAGCTCCAGAGCCCGATGTTTAGATACATTTCACTCAAAAGATACAATGTATATATTTTGAGTGAAATGTATCAGTTCTGATCGTCTAGGCACGATCAAACAGCTTTTAGGGAGATCTGAATCTGACTAAAGTCAGGATCAGTCTCTAAGGTTATTATTAGCTGTTCCTAAGTTTGGAGCAGCCTAATGGCCAACAATTTTTTTTTAAAAGTTAATTTATCAAGCAGTCATAGTGACTGCTTGATATAAACTGACAAAGTAAAAAAAATGAAATAAAGTGTAAAACAAAATTAGGAAAATAAAAATTATATATAAATATATTATACTATAATTAATATAAAAAATTCTAAAAAAAATAATAACGCAACACATGTGAAAAAAAGTGTTTTCTTTCTAGTTTTTTTTTTCCCCTCATTTTTTTATTTCATTTAAACTAAGTGAGCGGTTAGGTACACATATGTGATATAATTATATAGCCCTATCTGTCCTCTAAAAAACAATATATAATATGTGTGGGTACATTTAGTAAGAAAGTATATTACTGCTGTGGAAGAATCACACAGCAAAAATGTAAAAAGTGTGTCAGTCATTTATGAACAGAAACGGAAAACTAGCTCAGTCATGAAGGGGTTAAAGGCCATTCTCCTGAGAGCCAAGCCACTGCGTAAGAGGCTAGATGAGTTATAGACATCATCCAGCAGCCGTGGGCTGAATTGCCTGTTACAAGCCTGTTCTGTAGATCACAGAGGCAGGGACAAACACAAGCCTGCACTGCAATACTGGGTAAATCGCACATAATAGAAAATAGTGGTTGGCGTTAACTGTAGAACTTGAAGTGTCTATTCCAACACAGTCTGACTAAATGTTAAATCTAGTCATATGTCTTAAAGGGAATGCATAGTGTATTTTTAGCAAGCACATCAAAAATATTGGCACCCCTGCATTTCTGTCAGATAATGCACCACTTTGCGCAGAAAATTGTTGCAATTACAAATGTTTCGGCATTCTCATGTTTATCTATTTTGTTTGTATTGGTATGACACAAAAAAGTGGAGAGAAAAAAAAAGCCAAATCTGACACATTCCATGCAAAACTCCAAAAATGGACTGGACAAAATTATTGGCACCCTGAATTAATATTTGGTAGCACAGCCCTTGGAAAAAAATAACTGAAATCAATCGCTTCCTGTAACCATCAATGAGTTTCCCACACCTCTCTACAGGAATTTTGGAGCACTCTTCTTTCGCCAACTGCTCCAGGTCTCTCAGATTCCTTTTCCCAACTGCTGTTTTGAGATGTCTCCACAGGTGCTCTATGGGATTTAGATCTGGACTCATTGCTGGCCAGTCCAGTACTCTCCAGCGCTTTGTCTGAAACCATTTCTGGTTGCTTTTTGACGTGTGCTTTGGATCATTGTCCTGCTGTAAGACCCGTGACCTCTGACAGAGACCCAACTTTCTGACACTAAGCCCTACATTGCACCCCAGAATTATTTGGTAGTCTTCAGATTTCATAATGCCATGCACACAGTCAAGACATCCAGTGCCTGAAGCAGCAAAGCAACCCCACAACATCAGTGAACCTCCACAATGTTTGACTGTAGGGACTGTATTTTTTTCATTAAAGGTCTCAATTCTTTTTCTGAAAACAGTAGAATGATGGGCTTTAACAAAAATCTGTAGTTTTGTTTTGTCTGTCCACAGCACATTCTCCCAAAATGATTTTGGCTTCCTCTGGTAAGTTTTAGCAAATACAATCTGGCTTTTTTATGTTTCTGTGTCAACAGTGGGGTCCTCCTACCATAACGTCCCTTTTCATTCAGATGGTGATGTATAGTGTGAGCTGACACAGTTGTACCCTGTGCCTGAAGGTCAGCTTGAATTTGTCTGGAAGCTGATCGAGGGTCTTTATCCACCATTCACACAATCCTTTGATCAATAGCTACAGTCTGCAATCTTAGCTACAGTGCGATGGGCTGTAAACTTCTTGACAATGTTGCACACAGGTGACACAGGAACATTAAGATCTCTGGAGATGGACTTGTAACCTTGAGATTGTCCATGCTTTTCCACAAAAACATAGAACACAATTATTTCTTGCAATTTGGAGAAGGTGGCAAAAATTTTGTCCAGTCCATTTTTGGAGTTTGCGTGGAATGTGTCAGATTAGGCTTTTTTTTCCCTCCAGTTTTTTGTATCATACCAATACAAACAAAAGAAATAAACATGAGAATGCCTAAACATTTGTAATTGCAACAATTTTCAGCGTGAAGTGGTGCATTATCTGACAGAAATGCAGGGGTGCCAATATTTTTGGCCATGGCTGTATTTTAAGTTGTCATTGCAATGTTAAACTTTTCTGGGTGGCTCTAACATTTTTACATGCTTTTTTCAGAATTTAATTTTATTGTTACAGTATTAAATGAAGAAAGATGTACAACTAGTGTCAGGGTAGATGAGCTTTCACAATGACTCTGCCTAACAGCTTAACAACTGCTGTGAGTACATGGGGTATACAGTTGCATCAAGATCGCAGACTCACACTGTGGTAAACAGTAACACATATACATCATTTTTATATTAAGCTAATCCAATGACAGAGGTTCCAACCCTTTTCCATTCTATCCTTAAAGTGACATTAAACCCTCAGATTTTTTAACATAAACCAATACTGCAATGTGTGCCTTACTGTAATCTATGGTTGTTTCCCTTCTCTTTGCTGCTCTTCCTTTTAAATCCTCATGTCTTCTCATGCTTGGGGAGAATTTCCCTTTGCAGCTGAGTGCCTCTTCCTGTAGTGCTGGCTCCGGTTGCAAACCTTCACACACACACCATGTATCCATTTCAGAGACAAATCAGTCTGCTGCAAAACAGAAGTTCTGCCCAGCATGAGAAGAGATACGGATTTAAAAGGAAGAGCAGCAAAGAGAAGGGAAACAACCATGCATTACAGTAAGGCACACATTACAGTATTGTTTTATGTTAAAAAATCTGATGGTTTAATGTCACTTTAAAGTCAAATAGACTTTAATGCTTTGTATTTCAACAGTGACCTATAAGGAAAGCAATAATTGCACTCATATTTAAGAAAATCTACAATACTGAAAGAATCAATGAATGTCACAGTAGAACTATACCTAAATTCTTTAGACTTACTTTATTGTTTGCTCTGTTTCTTCCAACAGCTCTTTCTTTACCAACTCTAACTCTTTATTATGTTCCTTTCGTAAAGTGCGCATGTCTTTCTGCAATTTGGTTACTTCCTTGCGGAATTTCTGTACATCGCCTTCGGCTCCTTGAAGTTTTACCTTCAGAGTATTCTCCTGAGACTGAATTTCATCAAAGAGCACCTGTAACTCTTCATATGACCTTGTTTTCTCTTCCATTTTGTCCATGCAAGATTTCAGCTCTGAATCTTTGGCAGTTAACTGCTCCTGCAAAGAAAGTAAAACTTCCTGATGTTTGGAAGACAACTGCTCAATGTTTTGTTTTTCTGCTTCTATGTCATTTACTATAGACAATTCTCTCTCTTTAAGACTCTGCTCAGTTTCATTAAGTTTTTTCTGGACATCCTCTAGAGTGTCCTCCAACTCTTTTACTCTCTGTTCCTTTAGTGTTATGTCACTTCTAACCTGAGCTAATTCGCTTTCATTGCTATTGTGCTGCTCTAACAGCAATGAATATCGGTTTTCTTGTTCTTCTTTTTCCTTGTGCCAACCTACTCGAACCTGTTGGCATTCTTGAAACTGTTCTCTTAGCTCATTAAGCTGAATTTCTAGATCTTGCATAGATTTTTCCTTCTCTTCCAACTGAGATGTTAGCTGCTTCTTGATTGAAGCAATTTTCTGCTCTGCTTTTTTCTTTAACTCAGCCATCTTTTTAGTACTTTCAGCAGTCAACTGTTCATCAAGTGCTTTAAGTGCTTGTGCTTTACTTTCTGTTAGTTCTGCTCTTAACACTTCCCACTCAGACTGTTTCTTGCTCAATGCTTCTTTTAAGGTTGAGATTTTCTGGTGTAGTTTGATTACTTGTTGTTGAGCTTCCATGGAGTGGCTGTCTTTTTCTGAAGCAACAGTTTGGATATGTTCAAGCTGTAATGTAATTTCTTTCTTCTCCACACTTTGATGCTGAATCTGCCTATCTATTTCCTGCATTAAACATACTTTTTCATTTGTTAGTTCAGCAATCTCTGCATTCATTTCTTGAATTCTGGAATTCTGGCTCTCTATCTTGGAGGTTAATTCAGTCTCCCTTTTGCCTAGTTCTTCTGTGATTTTGTGGACCTGGTTTTCTTTTTCGATTATTTGCTTATTGCCCATTCCAATTTTTTCCTGCAATTCTTTAATTGTTTGATGGTTTTGTGTGAACTTTACTTCAGCCTTTTTCTTCCACTCTTCCAACTTGTTTTTCCATGTGCTTGCTTCTTCAGCATGTAGAGTTTTCTCTTTACTTAACTCTTCCATCTTGAATGTTAAATCCTGGATCTGATTCTGAAGGTGCTGCTGGCTTTCTTTGCTCTGTGAACTGAGGAAAGCTATGGCCTTCTCCTTTTCTTCTAAATCCACACTGTTCTCAAGCTTCAGCTTCAGTTCATTAATCTCACCATCTTTATCTTTTAAAGCAGCAGTCAAAGACGTAACTGTGTTGATGTTTTCTGAAAGCCCTTTTCTTAGCTCTGTGATGCAAGATTCTTTTTCATCAGCAACCTTCTGCTGATTTCCTCCTTCTTTTTGTAACATCTCTTTTTCCAAAAGAAGAGCATTTAATTCATCTTTCATAACCAAAATCACATTCTCTTTCTCCTGCAAATGTTGGCTAGCCTGGGCCAGGGAAAGGTTTACTGAAGAAAAATCTTTATTTATTTGTTTAAGATGAGTTTCTAAGTCACAAATCTGGGTCAAATGTCTTGACACACTTCCCTGCATTTCACATATTCCCTTTTCACAATGTGTAATCCTTGATATCAATCTGTTCATTTGATCATTCAATTTATTACTGAGCGCTGTTGTCAAAGATTCCAACAGTGAAATTATTTCTTTGAGATGTAATTTAAACTTATTTTCCTGTTCAAGTAACAGGTGATTGCACTGAGATTCTTTTTCTAAAAGCTTATCTGTCATTTCTTTTGTCAGTTCAGTAGTTAACTTATTATGAAAGGCCTCAAGTGAGTTACATTTTCCTTGGGCTTCTTGCAATTTACCAAGCAGTTCATCAGTTTTGCTTTTACCCTCTTCTATCACTGTTCTAAGTGAATTCAGCTGTTCTTCAAGCACCCTTTTTTCATCCACCAAGGTAGTATATTTATTTTGCAATATTTCCTGCTCAGATTTTAAGATATTTTCACTATTCGTTAAAACCAAAACCTGAGCAGATGCCTGATCTAACTGTTCTTGTAATTCATTTAAGGAGATGCCTAATTTATTTTTCTCTTCCTTCAGATCACATATCTGTTTATCTGCCTCTTCCTTTTCTTTGCTCACATTTGTTAACTGCTGTTTAATTTCTGAAACCTCTTGCTCTTTTTCCTGAAGTTCAACCTCATGTTTTTCTTTCAGTTCTTCTGCATGCTGGCTAAGCTTCATCTCCCAGCCCTGAATGGTCTCCTGCATCATTATATGGTGAGTCTCATTGATATTATGTATCTGCTCCTTGTGGTTTTGCTCTAGCTGAGACATTGTCTCATTGATTCCTAAGGAGCTGGCTTGGGCCATTTCTAGCATTTTCTCATTAAACTGCTTTTCTTTATTACCAAGTTCAAGTTGTTTCTTTTCAAGTTCCTCCCTCATCTTACTTTCCAGCTCAAAACATTTCTTCTTAGAGGCCTCCTGTATTTCTTTGATTCTTTGTTTCATTTTGTCAATCTTATTACTTTGGGTTTTGGTTTTTGCTTGGTGTTCTTCTTGCAAAGATGCTATTTTGTTTTCTTTGGAAGACATGTTTTGGTTCAGTTCTAAAATGACTTGATTGTGTGTTTCTTTGAGCTTCAAGGTTTCATTTTCCTTTTCAAAAATAATCCTGTTTAACTCTTCTATCTGACTTTTGCACTCATTCATCTTAGCATCAGACTGCAATGTTAGAGTATTAATTTGGTCGTTCATTTTCACTCTTTGCTCCTGAATTTGTAAAGAAAGGTTTTGTACCTGACCTTTAAAGGATTCTAAATCTACAGTCAAATTATTACATTTTGATTCTTTTTCTTCTACCAAATCTTTCATATGAGCATTCTCCTGAGCCAAAACCTCTAACTTCCCTTGCAGTTCTGCCAGCCGAGCATAAAACGCTTCTGCATCTTCCTGCAATTTTTTCAGATGTGAGCACTGCATTTCATCCAATTGAGAAGAGACAACCTTAGACTCAGCTTCAGCTTTTTGAAGACTTTCACTAAGTTGATGCTTTTCTGCTTGAATATTTTCCAGCTCTTTCTCCTTGCCATGCAACACAAGTTTAAGGCCATTCATTTCTTCCTTCAAATCTTTTTCTACCCCCTGAGTTAGCATTTCTCTTTCCTTTTCAATTGTACCAATTTGCAATTGATGCTGTCTCTGCAGCTCATCCAGCTCAGCTTCATAATCCTTTTTCATCCTGCCCATCTTATTCTGACATTCCAAAAGCTCCTGTTCAATCTCCTGACGAAGTTTAGAGGCTGCAGAAAGCTCAAACGAGAGTGCTTCTAGCTCTGTCTGCTTTACATCTAGTTTCTCCAAGGTCTTCTCATTCATTTCTTCGATATGAGCCTGAAACATTCTTTCCTTCTCTTTCATCTGCAGATCACGTTCTTGCTGAAACTGATTTTTTATTTCAATAATGGTGGAGTCATGTTCTTGCTTAAGGCTTTCAAGCTTCTCTTTCAATAACTTTTCACATTCTTCACTACAAAGTTCAAGTTCTTTTTTGTGTTGCTCCATAAGTGCGCCAATCTCTTCATTGTGCTTGTTTGATTCACATTCTATCCGTGTGGCCAATTCTTCTGTCTTACTGTCACTGTCTTGCGAAGCTTTTGCAAGGAAACTTTCCAGTTCAAGTATTCTCTGTCAAGATAGACAAGTTAAAGGTATAAAAATGTATAGCATCGCAAACCAAAATGTGAAATAAACTTGAAAGAAAATTATGACTAATATGCAATTAGAACAGCGGTTCTTAACCTGTGGGTCACGACCCGTCGAGGGTCGAATGACGATTTGCCAGGGGTCGCCCGGGAGTCTCCCGCTATTAGATAGCAGCTCCCGGCCGCCCGGGAGAAAAGCGCTTTCTCCCGGAAAACACTTTCTCCCTGTTTTTTTGTTTTTCTTTCCGACATCGGGGGCCGCTGTAAGTCAGAAAGAAAAAACCACCATAGGAATGCAAAGCTAGAATCCAATGGTTATTTCACTTTGCAATAGCCAATAGCAAACTAGCTATTGCACCCGCCCTCTGCTGCTGCCAATCAGCAGAGGGCGGGTGCATTAGCTAGTTTGCTATTGCAAAGTGAAATAGCCAATAGGAATCTATCTATGCATTCCTATGGTGGTTTTTTTTTTATGCTGACAGCGTACGCCAGTGGTTCTCAACCTGTGGGTTGCTGTGTCATTTCTGCTGTGCTAGGTGAGAGTCCTTCTCAGCCCTCTACTAGCGCAGCAGTGTCAGTTCTCCCGCCACGCCGCCAGATGTGGCTGCAGCAGCCGCGTGATCCCTAAATTTTACTGTTGGGGGTCACCACAACTTGGCAAATGTTACCAAAGGGGAACCGGCCCTAGAAAGGTTGAGAACAACTGCATTAGCAGATGTTAAAAAATAATTAAAAGGCCAATTGAACTGTCAGTTTAAAACCAGTTAAATACATTCTGGGTGCATTAAAATAAAAAGTGTGTGCATCCCCTGCCAAGGCAGAGTTCCTGATCTCAAAAAAGCTCAGGCTCCCAGAAGATCGGAGAGCTCCGACTCTGTGGGATCACTGCTTCCAAACAAAGAGCAAGGGCCCTTCTCTCTCTCAGAATGTTGCAGTCAATAGACTGTAACTGCTTTCTAAAGAAAATGAAAATAAGACTTTGCACACCTTTTGATTTCATGCACCTGGTATTTATTTAGCAGATTTAAACTGTACAGTTGGGCATTAATTATCCAATCTATTTGAGAGACTGCCCTTCACTACGAAGTCTATTTATAAAAAAAAGATTGCATCGCTATTTATTCACTGAAACTGCATGTACATTTGCACTGCCCTGAGAATCTGTGCAGCCTCCTTGCTCTACATCAGGGGTGGCAAACACAAGGCCTGCGGGCCGAATCCGGCCCGCCTGACCTTGTAATGTGGCCCGCACAGCGCAGGGGTGTGGAATTCGTATCGCCCGACGCCCGGGACATGTAGTTCCGGGCGCCGGGCAAGTGGTTTTTGCACTGTTTTAGCCCTGCTACGGACAAGTAGCAGGGCTGGCTTTCTTTGAGCGCCGCGCTACGAGCGGGGGGGCGTGGAGCGCCGAGAGCGGGGGGCGGGGACGGAGCGGGGACGGAGCACTGAATGAGATGGGGACGGAGCAGAGGGCGTGACGGAGCGAGGGGCGTAAAGCCGTGACGGAGTAGTTTATAAAGCCAGTAGCAACTGAATGCAGAGGCAACTATTTATGATAATAAAGAGTAGATGCATAGTCCTATACAACCGGCCCTTTGAGGGTAACCATACTGCTGATGCGGCCCCCGATGAATTTGAGTTTGCCACCCCTGCTCTACATGGAGTCAGAGCAGCGTGTATACTTTTTCTGCTTTGCAACATTGATTCTGACAAAAAAAGTGATCATCAGCACCAGTCAATGGGATTATTATTTGCAGCTCTTCTGTGGCTGATGGATCTACTTGCAACACAGTAATAACGGGTCTTTTTTAAAATTGACAGGACTATTTATAATATACTAGTGCCAGTTGATTTTGGTTATTTATAGTCTTAAGTAGGGGTGCACCGATATATCGGCCGAAAATTGTGCTTTTGGCATAATGCCGAAACAGCGGTGCATCCATTCTTTCTCTCCTCGGCCGGCGTCACTCCTCCCACATATCAGAGGAGAGCGACGGTGTGGGCCGAGACAGCCAGCGCTGTCACAGCAGGCTGAGCTCCGCTCGCTCAGCCTCCTGTGACAACGTGTCTGGAAGGAGAGCGAGTTCAAAGTTTGTAAATAATTGAGGACATGGTATGTTGACTATATCCTCAATTATGAATGAATGGGAAGTGATCTACATCACCTCCTGTTCATCTCATGTTAGGAATGAACAGGTACACTCAGAGGATTCCTGTTCATTTATAACTGGGGCTGCAGAAAAAAAAAAAAGAAGAAGGATTGAGGACTTTGTGTCTCTTTTTCTATTTTAAAAAGGGAAATATCAGGGTCTGTTTAGACCCCTGATATTTACCCGAAGCCCCTAAAAGTAAAATAAAAAATTACTAATAAAAAATTAATACATAAATAAAAATAAATATAAACATAAACAAATGAAAAAAAAAAGATTTAAAAAAAAAAAGAAAAAAAGTTCAAATAAAAAAGAAGAAATTTGGTTTTGGCCTGACATTTTTCTTTGTTTCAGTTTTGAAATTTTCATTTCGGTGCACCTCTAGTCTTAAGAACATTCAACCTGAAGAAAAAAATACCTCAAGAACATAAAATGTTGCCCCATTCTCTCAACAGCTGGTTGACTCGCACTGAACGAATATACATGCAGTTGCTCTCGACAAATATCTATGTGAATATCTATTATACAAATCTCTTAAGAGATTGACTTTAATGTGGTATTCATACAATTGTCTGTACTCAAGCAGGGTCTCATATATGGTCAATAGTTTGTATTATACAAGTTGTAGACTGGTAGTAATAAATATATATATATATTTTTTTTTTAACCTGGTGGTATTATGATAATGTACGTTAGATCCATAACTACGAACCTTTTAGTATATTCCACCTGAACTGTGATTTTAAGTAAAGATCATAGACCACATGAGACTCAAGAGGGCTCATTGGCTCAATCCGATTTAATCAAAATTATATTATTAAAAAAACAATAATGCCGCTAATTAAACAGGACACTTTTGGAATAAATGCGTAATGAGAGTACTAGTTTCAGTAAATTTTGCAGTACCCCATATACAACAACAAAAATATGATTTGTTTGTTTTTTCACATAAAAGTCATTCAACTAACCATTTCCAGATTGCAGCTTACTGATTCTAATAAAAGACAATTGCACACAACAGTACAAAAGATAATCATCCAAGTAAGCGGTTAGCATTTCAAATTCTTTCTAAAAACATTAAAGTGAGAATAAGGAATAACAAATAGCATACCGTTCTACATTCTTCAAGCTCCTGCTGCATTTCCTGTAGCTGGTTTTCAGTCTGGTTCTGAATGGCTTTCTTCTGAAGCTCTATCTCTTCTAAAGCAAGTAAAGCTTGCTGCTCTTTTTCTTGAAGAGAAAGTAAATGATTTTCCTGAACTTTTGCCTGCAATGTGGCAACAGGGAACGGGAAGTATGAAAAGAAAATTGTAACGTTTTTTCCATACAGAGCGAATATATCAAATGATACAACAGATTTTGGGAGAAAGTTTGCAAAAATCTGTAAGCAAGCAGACTGAGTAAGATCACAAGAGATGACCTAAGGGAAACCTATGGATGGGCTGGATAATATCTGGCAGCACCTTTCTCCTAACCTTCAGGAGGAAAGAGAAGTCTGTGTACTTTCCATAATATGTTTTCCTGAATTCCACTGAGGGACACATACTAATATAATCATTCTTACACTTTTGGGTTATACTGCTGCCTACAGGAGCTTTAGACACTAGCAAACAAAAAACATTAAGCCAGCCTTGTATGACCCTACCTCCAACAGTTATTCCTCAGTTTTGTGAGCAAACGGTACATAAGGACAATAACAGAGGGTAGGGACTTGTGCCAGTCAATGGACTTAAAGAAACAAAAATTATGATAAGTACAACAATCTTAGTTACTGTATCGTCCATTGAGGGAGATCTGAAGCAGTCTAATTGAGGGGTGGGCAACAGCCAATGGAAAATCCAATTGAAGAATGGAGGCTGGTGTCCCAGATTAGGGCATCTAATCGCCAGTAGGGGGAAACTGTTACCCGAAAGAATGATGGACCTCATTTAGCAATGTGGACAACAAAATTAACCCTTCTATACAAAAACAGATGGAACAAATATCAGAGCAGACAAAAAAAACTTAGACATCAAGGTGGTCACGTTGAAAGAACGGTTACCAAAAGGTAAAAGCCAGTGCTTGAGATACCCAACCCTTAAAGGAAAGGAAGATTGGACAAACAATGTGCAAACCAAAAGACGAACCAGGTAACAGCTCGAACCTTTAGTAAAACACCCTTAACTTCAGGGACCAGAAGATTCAAATTTATGATTTTACCTGAAAGATAAGTAATCTCTTAAGAGATATGCAGGAGAAGACAGCCCTCTAAACAGTAATATTAAAAGGAGAGGGGAGGCCCTAAAAGTGTATTTCCACTGTTGAAGTCAAAATTGAGAAAACCACCACTATATATGTTTGTTATGTGTTGCTGTTATTATTAATATTATTATTAAATAGTATTTATATAGCGACAACAGTTTGTGCAGTGCTTTACAATGTAAGGAAGACATTACAATTACAATACAATTCAAGACAGGATGGTAAGGAGGGCCCTGCCCCTGAGGGCTTACAATCTGAAAGAGGAGGGGGAAATGATACATGAGGAGGTAGCTGTGTGGGGATGAATTGTTTGAGAATGTGATGGTTCAGTGGTTAGGTTGAGGTGGGATAGGCTTCCCTGAAGAGAAGAGTCTTCAGGGAATGCCTAAAGACAGTCAGGGTGGGAGATAGACGGACATGTTGGGGTAAAGAGTTCCAGAGAGACACTAGAGAAGTCCTGGAAGCGAGTATGGGAGGAGTTGACTAGGGAGCTGGAAAACAGGAGGTCTAGGGAAGTGCGGAGGGGATGGTTAGGGTGATATTTTGAGACAAGGTCTGAGATACATCCGGGGGCAGAGTTGTGGATGGCTTTATAACTGACTGTTAATATCAGCAGGAATCGGAGTGAAACTGTAAGTGAGGGAAGCTGGGATGGGGCTGGCTGTAAATCTATTGCTATAGTGTACTGGACGTGTGTAATGTATATGTAGTACATATACACAGCACACACCTCCACTACACTACAGCAATAGAGTTACAATTCTCCACTGCTAACATGAATAGGTTAAACCATGATCCATAGTACATAACATGTAGTTGTACTATGGATCATTTAAAGTCACCTGTCCCTTTAAGAAAAAGTATCGGTAATTGGTATCGGCAAGTACATGAGGGGATGTACTTGTACTTGGGCCTGAAAAAGTGGCATCGGGACATCCCTAATTAACATACAATGCTTCTAAATCTTTAACCCTTTGTTAGGGCAGTGAGTTCAAATCACAACCGATGCGGTCTTCCAGCACAGTAGAGACAGGGTTAATTATGTTAACCATAATCTCCCCAACCCCTTGCATTCCAAGGGAAATTCAGTACTGAGAACAACTTTTCTTTCAGCATTGCACATATTTTGTGCAAGCAGCTATTCATTTTTTTTAGATTATGCTTGATTGGTTGGACTTGATGGACTTATGTCTTTATTCAACCTCAAATACTATGTTACTATGTGATTGAGAAACATGTAACAAATATAAAATAGGCTTCGACAAGTTAGCTGCTAAAGTGGAAATACACTTTAAACTGGAAAAAGAAGGTTAGTACCCTAACTTGCTTTCAGCACCTATATAAAAGGGTAGAGAGGTTGAAAATATATTTTCAAACAAAGTGGTGTACAAAGACATCAGGACTTGAATGGTGAGAGTTAATCCTTCCAACTCACACCCAGGGATGTAAGTAGCCTCATTGCAACCTGCTAGATCAAATATTAAACACATATTCTAGGAATCATTAAGCTTTCCTGAGGAATTATTTTACACCCTTTTCAGAATACAGCACATATTTAGTGAGACTTGGTCCTAAGGATCAGTTTTGTTCACTGTCCAAGCTGAAGATTCTCTAACCCAAGAGGAGAATCAAACATTATTGAAGGACAGCATGAAAAAGGGGACTATGTGAAATTGATTTCCCCAACAATCCCACAATTCCCTCGAAAGAAAATTAGAAATGACACACCAAGTGCCATTTTTGAAACCATCGGAAAACCGGGTGCCAGTGAACAATAGCACGCCATAGTGTTAGATACATTTCAATTTTTCCACTCATAGCTGTACTGCTAATAGTAAGTTAAACTCACATTTTTTTTTTATGTGTTTACCTTGCCATTAGCAGCACATTAGTGAAAACATTTAATAACTAGTGCACACACAAACCATATTCATATTTACATCTGCTGAAAAGTATACTGGACTTACATAAGCTACAAGCAAACAGGTCGACTCGCGTGCCAGCTGTCAAGGTCTCACGTGCCAGGCTGGGCACGCGTGCCGGGGGTTGCCGACCCCTGGTGTAGATGATATGACCCATTGGCTTAGTAGGAACTGCGAGAACCAAGGACACCGACTCGTTTCAGTGAAGGTCTCCTGAGCATTCTACAATGGGGATGCCAGGAAAAAGGGGGGTGGGCAACAGAGTCAGCACCGTGTATATGTTGTAAAACTATCTGAGTACACTGAAGAGTCAAGCTCTCACAAGGCAAGGGAGCAGTGGGAACTAATCCTAGTTGATTTTACAAGTAATAAGTATCCTTCAAGAGAGGGATAGGGATGAAAAGGAGTTGAGCAGCACATCCCTTTGCAACCAAGATGGAATAAAAGACTACACTGCAGAGAAAAGTGTAGGATCGAATGGGATATCATTCTAATAGATAGATTTCTACCACGGGAAACCTAAACAATTCTGCACAGCTGCAGACTGGGTATAGCAATACCAGAAAGGGCAGCTATAAAAAGATACCCAATTCAAAGGTTTAGAATAAAAGCTGCAAGGAGAAGCCGGAGCATCCAAACTACAAGATGATAAATGAGTAAGGCACCCAGCAGGATGAAAAAAGCAGCCTAACACTTGCATAAATGGAGGTGTACCTTTTTTAAGGGCTGAGGAAATAAAACAGAGGACTTCTACATACTAAGTTTTACAGCAGTAGCAGATGAAGAATGCAGTTATTCTGCCTTATCCACATATCTCATACGCTGAGGCAGATGTACACTCCAACCAGCAAGAGTTTTGGGAATGTTATTGCCAAGGACAGAACCAAAGAGATATCTGTATTTAAACAGCGAGTAAATCCAAGACATTACACCCATGCAAGACACTAGCTTGCCTGCTGGTGTGAGACCATCACTGCTGAACCGCAGGGCTTGATTCAAAAGCTTCAGGGTATGAGTATTCGTTTTAGAGATGGAGGGGTTTCCTTTAAAAGAACTGATCCACAGTTAAATGGATTCAGAAATCTGTGTCACCACCAAGTGAGAGTAATTCAAACAGACTTAGGGAGGGATCCTAACTGTGTATCAGTTAAATACCTGAATCTTAAAACATCACTAACCTATCTGGTAGAATGCCGGTTATGGTGGATTACAGAAGTGTCAACAGGGGGCAAAGGTCACTTAACAATAAAATTCCTTTCAAAAGGAAAAAAAAACAATCCTTCACATTATTAGGAAGGAGCAATGATTCTATAGGCTGTTTCCAATCCTTATATAGGAAGGTCTAAAATACCATGTGTATGGGAAAGGTCTTTGCAGCAGAGTTAACTCCAAAAGACCCCATGCTTGTAACAGCAGGCTGATCCTCCGATTGCACGGTAGAATGCACTGCATCAATCAGGTTAAAAACAACACTGTGTAAATCTGAGTCATGTGGAACTTAGTAACATGGGCCTGAGGCACACTTAGAAATTGAATTCCAAAAGGGTCAAAATTCAACTCTGTGGTGGAAGGCAATGGAGTGCACTTAGAGACTCAGTGCACTTAGAAAGCAGATTTTTCCATTACTTATCCACTAGCCAGCAAAAACTCTGAAGTTGATATTTGCAGTCTTCCGGACACATTGGAGGTCTGAGCTTCACACTGCAGAGCTACAGAAGACTCCAAAAGGGAGGAAACCTGTAGTATAGGGGGCCCAGAAACTAGGTTACAGGCATAGGATCCTTACCTAGAACAATGGAGAATGAGTTGTGGTCACCTGTTGGAGCAGGACTGCCCTCTGTGTATTTTAAAAAGACATGTTGTACCGTGTGTGGGAAAACAAATAGGCCACAAATGAGGCAAGGCCTCACGAACTTGCAAACTCAAGGAACAGATGCTGAAGAGGGTCGTAGGTAGCTGGAGGTAACCTAAGTTACTGTAAGCGAGAAGTTGAAAAAGACCCGAGACTGAGAGATCCATAAAGTGTTGCAGAAGCAGATATGTGAAAATAGGCAGATCTGGATAACTGCTATGAGATTTTGAAGGATTAATTGAAACCAATGAAGAACAGTATCTTGAGTGAAGAAAAAACAGGAAAACATATTTGGACCTGATTTCAGCAAAGCTGAAGGAAAGGCATCCAATCTGCTGGAGCATCAAACAAAAAACTGAGGCATAATGGTTGGATGCAGTGTTTTAAGGGGGCTGGCTTAACATTTTTACTTTGCCAGTGTCCAAACCTCCTGTAAGTGGCAGTATAACACAAATGTATACGAACTACATTTCTGTGTCACATAATGGATAATCAAGAAAAACCTATTGATCTGTTTCCTCTTGCAGTACAGTGTGAGTGGTTGAGCAGTTTTGCACAAGACTTCAAGGATGACACCACACAGTTCGCAGAATGCTGTGCGACAATCCACAACAGGTCTAAAGAGTTGAGTGCATTTCTGGAACATCAACCAGTATGTTGACCCTTAAAACACAGGGAAATGTGCAGGTGATTTACTGCATTTTTTTTTAGTAACAGTAGATGTCTGGTGAAGAAAAGTTCTGATGGTCTTATCATACCTGTTTAAGTTATAAGAAGGCTATTAATTATTATACAGGATTTATATAGCGCTTTATCAGTTTGCGCAGCGCTTTACATTATAAGGAAGATATTGCAGTGACAATACAATTCAAGACAAGATGGTAAGGAGGGCCCTGCCCGTGAGGGCTTACAATCTAAAAGGCAGGGGGAAATTAATGCTTTGTATGGGCAAGTGTACTTACAACAGCTACTTTTAGTTTTTCTTGGAACCCCTCTTCCAGTATTCTCAAGCTTTCCTTGTGTTCCTGCTCTTTATTCTGCAGAGTTTCTGCATTAGACTTTTCCAGCTCAAGGATACGCCCATCACAGGTTTTCTACACAATAAAAAAATGTACATATTCTTCCTTTTGAAGATTCACTCTCTCTTCTTCACTGGCTTTTTCAATGGCATTAATTTGTGCTTCCATTTGCTGCTTGCCCGTTTTCTGAGCCTCCTCTGTATTCTGCGTGGCAGCTACAGCTTTTTCCAGTTGCTCAAATGCTAATATAAAAACAGGAGGGCCACGTATTTAATTCAACTGCATCTGACACTGACAGAAAACATCTACATTTTATATAAAATAGTTATTCCACAAAAGCAAACAAATGACAGCTAATATCACACAAAAAAACAACAACAAGAAAACAAACTCTCATACAATTTTGTTGTTGCTGAATTTACAATGCAATAAAAAGCAAACATAATGTTAACTGCTAAATTCACAGTGATAAATTATGAAATTTAAAAAAAAAATACATTTGAGGAAAAAAAGATATTCAACAGTTGAATGTTTTTTTTTTCATCTAGAAAAATAAGGATTACACACCTAAGCAATATTTATAATTTGAATGTAAATTTTTCAGGAGCAAAATTATCAGTGATAAATACCTTATTTATTCTAGTGAACTATACTAGTGTGCAGAAATGCTTAAAAAAGCAACTATAAATACATTTAGAAGCTTTTAGAGAAAAACAGAAGACTGTGTCCAAACAAACATCCCTGTTTAAAATGAAATTCTGATAACAGATATCATCTTGTATAACCAGGATTGGTGTTTAATATTTACTAGATTGTAAGCTCTCAGAGCAGGGCCCTCCCAACCCTATTGTTCTGAAACTGTATTGTACTGTAAATTGTATTGTAACTGTACTGTCTCCACTATTTTGTAAAGCGCTAAGCAAATTGTTGGCGCTATATAAATCCTGTATAAAATAATAATATTTGCATTTGAATGTATTTCTAAACTTTTGTAGGACTACACAACTTTGGATACCAGATTTCTGTGTCAAGTACTAGTGTCAAGATTTTGTTGTCTCTGAGTCTTGGACCTTTTTTTTTCCAATTTATTTATTTTTTGTTCATTGAACAGCTGTGGTATGATTTCTGTATTATTCTGAGATTCGTGCCAGGTAATGCATGCTGTTTTTTGCTGATGTGTCTTTTATTCTAGTGCACATAAAATCAAGCAACCCTTTGTCTACGCGTGAGCAATGGTTTTCATTGTGGTACAAAAGGTAATCTCTTTATCAACAATGGTTGCAAAACTAAATTCGATCCACTCAAAATTTCTAGCCAACATTTTTTTATGCAATGATGGTGTCCAAAGAAGTAATCATCATTTGCATCCTACAAACTATCTAATCTATCTAATCATTACTCATCTAATGATTACAGAATTACATTTGTTAATAAAAAAAACTCCAGTAGTAAAGCTGTGGTGTTAAAGATGTTTAGCTAAAATAACGAAAATAAGTAATCATCATCATTTCAAATAGATTGATGTGTGCATTAAATAATATCTGCTCTTAAATGTTAACAAAAACCTCTGCAGAAAAAAAAAAACTCTACAAAATGCCTCACCTCCAGAGAGAAAAAAACAATCAAATCAAATTCACCTACCCTACCTGCTTGGGAGCAGTGCAACACTTATAAGCTCACTAGAATCTGCATCGGTCCCATGCAGAGGACCACACAGAACAATGTGCAGCCTAGCCTGCCCAGTCATCTTTTCTGTTTTTTTATGGCCAGATCAAGCCTTCAGCTCAGTTCAGAATGTACCAAATTCTAAATGGAACAAGTAACACCCGAGCTGATGAGCACTGAATTAGATTGGTACAGGCCAAACAATTTCTGTTGCTGAGAGTTGAAGTGATCCATGGAGTTTTTGATGCATAGGATAAATTAAAATATTGTATGGCTGGGGAAATTAACAATTAATTCCTCGATTAATTGTTAAACTTTTTCATCGAAAATGAAAAGACTCACCTCTCCGCCGGCTTCCGGGAGTCCCGTTGGAGATCTGGTGACATCACGGACATCGACTTCACCGGACTCCCCCCCCCTTCCCTTCGTTAGCCGACGGAGCCACTTGGGCCGGTGAGTTTGCCCAAGAAGCACCAAGCTTCTGTCTTATCTTAAACTTATATATATGCACTATGTGGCTCTCCATTAACCGCCCCATCTCGCTCCCAGAAATGTGCCCATTGAAATTTACTGATATTATGTTGCAATCAGGTCCTTACATGAAATGGACAAGTGCTGCTACTTCAAATATTTAGCTAATACTTGTTTAAATCACCCTTAGGGCTTTGCTGTTTTACTATACTATGTAAATACATTTGTAATCCAGCACGTTATTATTCTGAGTTGCCCCACTCAAGCGGCGGCCATATTGAGTGGGGCACGTGAGATAATAACACGCTGGATTAGTGTGATCCTAGTTCATTTTATTACTTCATTGCTGTGCTGTATGTGTATGGGCCAATGTAGTTGGATCTGTATGTGCGTTATAAATAATCAATTAAAAAAAAATCCATTAATTGAACAGGAAAATTTTAATAATTACCAGCCCTAAAATATTGTATTATAATACAGTTGTCCTTTAACCCTTTTGTGTACGTTGCGGTCATCGGGGCTGTTTAAACAGACTACCGGCGGCAAAAGCCTGTTTAAACTTGTAAAGCCGACTGTCGGCTTTACAAAGGAAGCGATTCTGGTGGCTCAGCTGTCGCCAGATCGCTTCTATGGGCCGGTGAATGGGGTGCCCCCCCCCTCCTTGCCCGACACCCCCGCCGTGCTTCCCGGGCCCCGTTGCCCCTTCTATGGGCCTGGGAACAGCGTCTCTGGTGTCGGCAGAGAGCTGGGGAGGAGATGGACGAACCTCCGTTCGTCGATCCCCCTCCCCGTTCTATGGGACCAGGAGCGATGCAGATTGCATCACTTCCGGTCCCATAGCTGTCAAATGCTGGGCTTCTGAAGCCGAGCTATAAGCTATTGAAGTGTGATCTGCACTTCAATAGCCTATTTGGAGAGTAAAGGTGACACTGGGGGTCTTTTGGACCCCCAGCATTACCTTAAAGAGTACCTGTCACCATCATCTGCTATCACATGGGAGACTTGTAAGCCCCCCTATGTGATAGCAATCAAAGTAAAATAAAAATAAAAAGTGTAAAATTAAATAAAATAAATCTAAACATTATTTTAAAAATGTAAAGGCCTCCTCCCCCACGTAAACACGCATCGGGTGCACCTATGTATGAAAACGACGAACGTGCTACACATGTTGGGTATGCCGCGCACGCCGGAGTGAGACCAATAATTCTAGGGCCAGTATTTTTGGCTCTCTCTATATTGATGACCTGGGTGGGCTTTTAAAGGGCCGTCTAAGGACTTTTTGGGGTACTTTAGCAACTGCCAACATTATATTCTATAGGGTCTTGGCTTTCAGAAAATATATAATGTTTGGGGGTTTAAGTAATTTTCAGGCCTAAAATGTGGAATATAACATGGGTGCATAAAAATGGCCTCAGTCATGAAGGGGTTAATAAGGGCTGTTAATATGCAGAGCTGTTCTAATTATCCAGATACCTAGAATAATTAGTTGTCTGTTCCCATCCTGCTTTAAGATCACTATGGGGTTGATTTACTAACCTTATAAACACGCCACGAACAAGTATACACCTCTGTAGTGTGTTCCCTCCCAGCATGATCTATTGGTGGAATCTAGACACCTTTGTAGTGTGTACACACCCAGCAGGTGTGTTGTGCAAAGCCCTGCAATGAATTGCAAGGTAATGTGGTGTAAATTAGCTCTATGTTATGTTGCTTGCGTTGATGAATGCAGGAATGTAAATGCATGAGCTAACCATTTTTGTCTAAACTGTGAAGCAGCATTATATATGCATCATGTGCATGATTTTTCCATATATGGCATTAGTGGAAATATGCTTTTAGAGACTTTTTGGTTGATAAATACGTTTTGCTGTGTAAAAATCACACGCACCTAGTGCGTGCGTGTGTTTAGGTTAGTAAATCACCCCCTATGAGTCAGTGTTTTGTTGGCTGTGTCTGTACCTGTCCCCACCAATGATAGCCAGAGTTGTGGTGGCTAAATATTTCTTTTTCATTCTTCCAAATATGCTATGACTGCTAGATGAATGAAAAGTCACACAAATGCTTTCTTGTTAACAGAAAGCATTACTATTTATTCTGGCATTACATATGAAATATGACATGTGGCCAGTTTAGGTGTTAAGAAATAAATGTTGAAAAGAGGTCATTTATTTTACACAGGACAGTTCTCACTATAAATACCATTTAAACAATGATGTTGACATTCCTTGAAAAACATCACTGCAAACCAAGACAACATGCACTGACCTACATGCAATGAAAAATTCAACTAAAGCATCATAGGTATGACATGATAAAACTGCTGCAGTGGACACTAGGTGCTGCCAAAACTGACAATACAGTAAAATCTACTTCCAAACTATACACAAACTCATATCACAAAAAGCTGCATTACTTGCTGCTCAGACAACTGGAACATCTGACAGACATTAACTGCAAATAAGATTTAGCATTGAATATTAGATTATTTTAAATAACTTATCACTGTATAATATCACAGTGTAATTTTAATGCTATGAACTGCAGTTCAAAAATGCAGCATCTGTGATCTCCTACATCCCACGACATCAATACCGATCAGGCATAACATTATGACCACCCACCTAACATTGAGTAGGTCCCTCCTTTGCCACCAAAACAGCTTTCCTATTGGATCGGACTACACGGGCCAGCCTTTGCTCGCCACGTGCATTAGTGAGCCTTGTCCGCCCATGGCCCTGTTGCTGTCTCACCTGTTCTCCTTCCTTGGACCACTTTTGGCAAGTCCTGACCACTGCAGACCGGGAACATCTCACAAGAGCTGCAGTTTTGGAGTTGCCCTGACCCAGTCATCTAGCCATCACAATTTGGCCCTTGTCAAAGTCGCTCAAGTCCATACGCTTGCCAATTTTTTCTGCTTCAGAGACAAAATATTCACTTGCTGCCTAATATATCCCACCCACTTCCAGGTGCCATTGTAATGGATAATCAAAATTTTTCACTTCACCTCTAAGTTGTCATAATGTTATGGCTGATCGGTGTATACTTGCCTTAATGTCTCCCAAGGCAGAGCTAAATTACTATATTTTCAAAAAAGTGTGTAATAGCGGTATTGACAAGTCTAACTTTTTATTTTTGCAATCACTGTTTACACAATTTGTATAGGAAAGTATATACAGAAGTCAGTAAGAACATGGCTATGATATAAAAAATATATAATTACTAGGGATGCTCCGATACCACTTTAAGACAGAGTACTAGTACCGATACTTTTTTTCCAAGTACTCGCCGATACCAATTACCGATACTTTTTCTTAAAGGGATGGGTCACATTTTTTCTAAAGCAATACAAAATCATGATTTTAGGTCAGTTTCTTAATATTATGAAGAACATGAAATGAATATTTATCATGCCATTGCTAACTAAGGCTTGTATCCCCATAGATGAGCACATGTCCAGACTCCAGACCAAAACACTGTATAGTGTGGCACAGCTATATCCAATTCTGCATACCTGGCTTTATATTATAAAAATATAAAAATTTTATAATATAAAGCCAGGTATGCAGAATTGGATATAGCTGTGCCACACTATACAGTGTTCAGGTCTGGAGTCTGGACATGTGCTCATCTATTTTTCCCACTCTGGGGATACAAGCCTTAGTTAGCAATGGCATGATCTAAATATTAATTTAATTTCATTATTCAATGTCTTTTTTTTAATATTATAAATGATATAATATATAGACTTCCAGGGACAAAGGTATTTTCCTTTTTTATTAAACATACACTTTAAGCCACGCCATAAATTTACCTAAACAACTTCTAAGTTCATTCCGTTCATTTTGCTAAAGTTTCATCACTTCAAGATTCAGGATTTAGAAGGACAGCCCTTGCAAAATCAAAACAATTGGTAGTATCAAGACATGACTACTACTAGCCTCTTTCTTTCTGTTCTATCTGAGATTATGTATGACAATATCACAAAATAAATAAAATGTTGCAGTGCATTAATATTTCTTTTTGGAGCAGTTAATGTTGTGGCCAGAAACACTATAATTCATAGTGAGCTGCATGATTTCATTTTAAACATATATGAAAATTACTCCGATTGTCTGAGTAGCAAAGTTTTTATTAAAATGTTTTCTGTAAATTATTACCAAATTAAATAAACATCCCTTACCCCAATCCTGTTCAAATAAGGCTTGGGAAAGGCACCATTAATTGGCATGCATGGATACACAAAATAGAACACATATTTGTGAGTTCTGTTTACAGGAATTTTAAATGAGTATTCTGATTTAAAACAGAGCTGCTCAACCATTCTATGTTTTGGAATTTTTGGGGACCACCAACTGTCAGTATGGTAATGTTCTGGAACTGAAAATAAGTTACTTTTAACTAGGGCTGTGCAAATTAACGATACATTTCTCGATTATTCGTTAATCTTTTTGATCGATTAATTTTTTTTTGAAACTCTGCACGAGCGCCAGCCAAGGCATTGGCCTATATACATACAGCACAGCAATGAAGTCATACAATGAACTAGGATCACACTAATCTAGCACGTTATTATTCTGAGTTGCCCCACGTGAGATTAATAACGTGCTGGATTAGTGTGATCCTAGTTAATTTTATTACTTCATTGCTGTGCTTTATGTGTATAGGCCAATGTAGTTGGATCTGTATGTGCATTATAATTAATCGAAATTAATCGATTCAAAAAAATTTCGATTAATCGAACACAAAAATGTTAAATCATTACCAGCCCTACTTTTAACAGAACCCGAGAGTGCGCATGTGATGTATGACAATATAAAGACTCCAAAGTTCAATAGCGTTTTCTCTTCAGGGGTGTAGACTCACAGGTTGCGCATGTCTGATTTAAATAATACTTAACAACAAACTAAACCGTAATAAGTGACTACTGTTATTACAAAAACTAATCATATAAAATGATCTTAGCAATTGGAGGGGAAAAAAAGAAAAGCTTTTTTTGTGAATACCACCAACAAAACTAAACATAGAGCATACACTTGCATGCAAATGTTATCTTGGAAAAAGATCTAATACATCAGATGTCAAGTTAAGTCTCTATTGACCTGTCTTTACACATGTACGCAAAAGAATCAAGTTATTTCACAAATAAATTGCTAAAAGAAAAAGGTAACCAGACAAAATCCCAATTTCTGTGTATTAGGCTTAAACTTACCTTTTGACAAGTTAGAGTTTTCCTTAACAGTACTAGCATCAGCATTTCCTTGATTGTGAGTGGCACAATTTGAGAGCAGGCAAAAGGCACAAATGGTTGCTCAAGCATAGGCAGCCAGTCAGTGCATCAGTCTGCTCAGAATTTCTGCTGCACGAGCGCCAGCCAAGGCATTGGCCTATATACATACAGCACAGCAATGAAGTCATACAATGAACTAGGATCACACTAATCTAGCACGTTATTATTCTGAGTTGCCCCACGTGAGATTAATAACGTGCTGGATTAGTGTGATCCTAGTTAATTTTATTACTTCATTGCTGTGCTTTATGTGTATAGGCCAATGTAGTTGGATCTGTATGTGCATTATAATTAATCGAAATTAATCGATTCAAAAAAATTTCGATTAATCGAACACAAAAATGTTAAATCATTACCAGCCCTACTTTTAACAGAACCCGAGAGTGCGCATGTGATGTATGACAATATAAAGACTCCAAAGTTCAATAGCGTTTTCTCTTCAGGGGTGTAGACTCACAGGTTGCGCATGTCTGATTTAAATAATACTTAACAACAAACTAAACCGTAATAAGTGACTACTGTTATTACAAAAACTAATCATATAAAATGATCTTAGCAATTGGAGGGGAAAAAAAGAAAAGCTTTTTTTGTGAATACCACCAACAAAACTAAACATAGAGCATACACTTGCATGCAAATGTTATCTTGGAAAAAGATCTAATACATCAGATGTCAAGTTAAGTCTCTATTGACCTGTCTTTACACATGTACGCAAAAGAATCAAGTTATTTCACAAATAAATTGCTAAAAGAAAAAGGTAACCAGACAAAATCCCAATTTCTGTGTATTAGGCTTAAACTTACCTTTTGACAAGTTAGAGTTTTCCTTAACAGTACTAGCATCAGCATTTCCTTGATTGTGAGTGGCACAATTTGAGAGCAGGCAAAAGGCACAAATGGTTGCTCAAGCATAGGCAGCCAGTCAGTGCATCAGTCTGCTCAGAATTTCTGCTTGAGCCCAGAAAACATAATTGTCAGTACTTTGGGGAAGCCTAAACCTGCTAAATTCCCCCAACCACCACCACCATATGGCAGAACTCATCAGTTGTAAACTAGATTGGAACACTGTCTGCCCTAACAAAGTGGTAAAGATCAAATAGGTTAATGAGATGACTAAAATCACTCACAAACTGTTTGAAGAAGCTTGCAGTCTGGCCAAAAGCCACCTTTAAATGAACAGCTAAAAGCTGAGGTATATTTTATTAATTGTTTAGGTATGCTGTGTGAATGGGACCACACACACACATATAGTGGAGTTTTGAAATTTGATGGCAAAAGTGGAAATACACTTCAATGCGGAACTGATCTGAGTGGCTCTAAAGCACTTTGATCACTTCTACATGGCAATCAAATCTACCTTTTCCTATGGACCCCCCACCCCCTGGCTGTTGGGCTCACCTGCGCCTCCTAGGACCTTTAAAACTTGATTATGATTGAGGAAATTGGGGAATTTCCTTGCCTTGATCTTTTCTGTAAAATGTGGACTCCAGAAATGCTTAACTCTAAGCGGACTATGGCTGGGTAAGCAGTAGATCAGTGACCCACAGTACCCAACCTGCTTGGGCTTGCTTGCAGAGGAGGCATCAAGGTTCTAACATACCTGTCACAGCATATGTACGATTACATAGGAGGCTTGTCAGCCCCGTTTTAATAGTAAAAGTATGAAAAAGTATTAAAAATTAGTTTAAAAAATATAAAATAAGAAAAAAGGACTCGCACACATGTATGCAAACCCAGAACTAATGTACACACATAAGCGTCCCATTTCTTCACCTTCATACCCAGCTTTTGTTTTTAAAAAAAAAAAACATGTAGATACTTTTTCCCCCCTTATGTCTTTGGTTCAGTCACCGATCATCTTCTTCCAATGGTGGATACCGCAGAGAACATAATTCCTGTAATTACATAAGTGCTGGTCTCTGATGCATCCCCTTGTAAGCCCAGGTCAATGGTGGGCGTGCCATTGAATCTCGTTTCACAGAAAGTAGGTTGAATGACATTGGGTGTCATTCAACCGGGAAGAGGAACAGAGCTGGCTCACAGAACAGTGAATCTGTAGGGGACATTTTATTTCTAGCTGGAGCTAGGTTTTGATTTAACAGAAACTGCGCTACATTAAAAAAAAAAAGCACCTGTGCCTCTATGAAAAATCTATGTCGAACTGCTCTTTGCATTTTTCAGCTTCCCATAAAGCTCAACAACTACACATAAATGAGAAGAAGCATGGCTCACCAAATACCAGTGCATGGACTATTTGAGGGTATAAATGAAAAATCAGTTTTTACCAGTTTTCTCCGATTTTTCTTTTGCTTCCTGTAGTAGTTCACATCTTGTGGTTAACTGTTTAACTCTTGTTCGTAGCTGAGAAACTTCCTCTTCCTTCATCATTAGAGTTTCATGCATCTGTCTTTTTGTCTCAGCAATGACCATTCCCTATAAATGACCGTAATATAATTAATATTTACCTTGGCATATTAACACACCAAAACAAAACCTTTAAGATCTGTGTACCCGTGTAGCACAGCTGACCGTAGCAGCTGTTTCAGCACGGATTTGCAAAACCACATGTGATTGCTTAGGGCATCCTAAACTGTGTATGTATGTATGTATGTATGTATGTATGTATGTATGTATGCATGCATGCATGTATGTATGTATCTGTTGTCTTGTACCAGTCTTGCCTTATATATATATTTTACACACACCTACATACAAACACAGACAAATGCAAACACTGTATACCAAATATATAGGCTATATATTTTTATCGGTCTGTTACAACTGAGATTTGTAAGGAATAGGTTCTATAACACTAAGGAGTAAGGTGCATTCATAATGCTCTATTTTCTGCAAGTATATACTGTATACAACTCACTGTATGCTAGGCTTCACAAAGGGGGATCCACCCCCAAACCCATTATCTTGGGTACCACAAAGGTCATTTTGATAATGCACCAGATCAGTGCACTCGCTTCTGCTTTTATTTAATTTTATGGTCTTTTTGGAGTATCCCTTATGCCATTTTATAGAAAGCGGCATTATCAGTGTTGGTGCTATCTGACTAATTAAAACTATTTTCCTGGGAATCCTTGTATGTATTAACGATCATGAAACTTTTAAAGGCTTTAGGAAACTAGCATGTTACAACAGTTTACCTGGTACAGGAAAGGTCATCTAAGGTTATGTGCATGTTTGCATTGTACTGGTAATGATAGGTTTCCTTTAAGCCTTGGTTTTTAATATTTTTTTCTTTATTCTTTTTAATAATACAAAGTTACACAGAGGTAATCTGTCCAAGTGCATCCAAGTTTCACGACCTTAGTAATGTTAAGTCCTGCAGACATCTTTCACAGATAAATGTTTACCTTATCTTGCTCCAGTTGCTCAACCAAATTCTTGGCATCCCTCAGCTGGGTAATCAGCTTGGTCTTTTCACTAGTGTGAAGTTCCTGGAATGTCATAAAACACAACAATTGACACTGTGAACAGTTTTTAATAATTTGGACAAAATTATGACGTATATTAATAAAAAGAACATTCTGTAAGGTTAGAACATTTTTAACATTTCTATCGGAATAAAGAATGATAACAAAGTTCAAATCTAAATTAACCCAAATGAAGCAGCAATCAGCAGATCTAATGTTGAATTATGCTAAAATATATGCGTAGCTTTGTGAAATATAAAATGGAATTGCATCATTAAAGATGTAAGAGCCCATTTAGACTTTTACATCGCAGTAATGATTTACTGTGTTGAAGGACCATTCATTCTCAATGGCACCCCATTACACTAAGGCAACGCAATGCACAGTAGTGTGTTGCAGTCCGTTGCACTACCAAAAAAGGGGTCACGTCTAATTAATGGCAAATTCGGGTGCATTGGCATCTTATCCATTTCAGTGGGATGCCCCAACACAACCACATCAAACTGCAACACGTGTTAGTATCTAAATGTGCCCTACATTACATTAAAAAAAATCAAGATATTATACTTTACACATGTACGCAAAAGTAGGGCTCTTCAAGTGTATCTCAAGACAAACCTATTTTGCGTTTTCATTTAGGATGCAGTGGGAGGATCCCCTTTCAGGTTTTTATTGCCAAGTCCACTTTGGAGAGATTCACCCTCTCCAATTGTCCTGGTGGCCATTAAGTAATTACTAATTTTATGGTGTCACAGCAACAGAAGATTAGGGGAAATCTTACTATGGGGACACCTGTTCAGGTTTATCTGTGTCACTTTTGTATCTCTGTAACAGGAAATGAAGGGAAAGTTCCCAAACAGAACATATAGAGCAAAAAAGTAAAACCAGGAGGATATTAACCATTTCCTACTGCATCTAAAGCAAACTAAAAAAAATTTCTAGAGATCTCAGGGTAGCAGTAGTAAAATCTATAAACATTCTTTTTTTTCCCCATTTGTCAAAAATGTGACAGTGTAGTAAATGGGTAGCCACTCTGAAGAATGAGGACCTGCAGCAGAAACAAAAGAAGAAGAGGTCAATATGGACCTGAAGCATCCACAGAAGGTGAGGCATGTGAAAGCCTTAAAGTTTATTTCCACTTTTGCAGCCAAACTGGGATAAGCCCTCTTTTAAATGTCTTATATATTCACATTGCAAAACGAAAAAAAATACATAAAAAAATGTCTGATGACATTTCTAAGTGTTTTATACTTGTCTGCATGCGTTTGCACGCGTCCATAGACTTACCTTGCGTCTCTGCTCGTCTCCCAAGCAAAACAAACGACAAACGCACTCAACAATTTGTCACCAGTTAGCAGAAGATTTCAAATTGGGTGCAGGTTTGTCAGGAGGAAGCCCAGCCTCCTTAAAAGCACAGAAACAGGCCCTAAACGGCCGCTGACGGAATTTGAGGATCTGTGTCAGAGGGCGGAGCCGCTCCGACACTCCTTGGCGTACTTGATGAAGGGTCTGCGTGATCCCCCTAACCAGACCTAACTGCATTCGACAGTGGGCCTCGGACTTAGCTCTGACTCTAACCCCAGCTCAGGTGGACACCATGTTATACTTTGCCCTTAAATCTTCAGTTTCCAACAAATACCAGGAAGCTGGGTATAAACTCTTAACCAGATGGTACAGGGTGCCTGCGACCCTGCATGTCATGTATCCTGCGGTGTCCCCAATGTGCTGGCGTTGCGAGTCCGAAGAGGGTTCCCTGCTTCATGTCTTCGGGGATTGCCCGAAGGTTCAGCCATTCTGGGCTGGAATTGTATCTGCGGTAACAGATATCACGGGCCATATACTGCCCTTCACGCCGTCTGTCTATCTTCTCCACCTGGCACCACTCTCCCGAAAAGCCTATAAACGCTCGCTGTTGATCCACCTGCTGAACGCGGCCAGAGCCTGCATACCAGTCTTATGGCGACAAACCCGCCCTCCTTCGGTGGGCATGTGGGTGCGGCGGGTGGAGGAGATTAGACTGATGGAGGATTTGACAGCTGGTTTACGGGAGTCACAGTCCAAATATGTGGCTACCTGGGGCGCTTGGGTAATGCTCAGGGGGTCGGCAGCCTTCGCAGCGATGTGTGGGGTGGACGCCGGAGATTGAGGTTCTGCCAGTCTGGGCCACCCATTATGGGGGGGGTGCGGTCACGCTGGAGGGTTGAGTCGACCGGTGGCCGCCGGGGCGCGGGACTTGGTATTATATTCTACTTTCCCTTCTCCCTAAGTTTTGTTCTGCTTTCGCTTTATGTTTCAGTGTTTGTCTCTGTTAGTCTTTTATGTGCTGTTTGGGGGTGATCGTGGGGGGCTTGGCCGCCCATAATGTGGGGCTGGGCCCGACCGCTCACCCTGACGTTAATGTTGGTTTTACGTTGATTCACCTGAAAATTGCCTTAAGGGCGGGGACAAATGTGATTACTGGACCTAATATTACCACATGTTACCATGTTCGTATTATGAGTCTCACTGTCCGTTGTTTTGTTATTTTGCGAGACCATGTGGCCTTCGCGTGAGCTTCCATGCATTGTACCCCACAGCATTGTACCCCCAAAAGCACAGAAACACACAAGGGATCCTGCACATCCCAATGGCAGCTGAGAAACCCCATGCGTCGCTGCACCAAATCGGTCAAGCAAAACAAACGACAAACACACTCAACAATTTGTCACCAGTAAATCTTCTGCCCCCATGTGCTCCAAGATGGAGACTCTCATAGTTTAGAGTTAGGACCGCACTATAAGAGGTGCCTTGGCGCGGCAGTGCGGCTTTCACATCCTCTGCAGAAGAAGTGTGTCCAAAACTCTGTTATTATCCTTAGTGGTGAGACAAGTTGTTTTACATGCTGGTTTGTGAGTGTGCCATGATGCCTTGTGAGTGTGCCAAGATGCTTTGCTGCCCGAGCAGTTTCGGATTCTCGGGCTGGAGTGCGCGGCGAAAACAGTGTAAGTTTAAACCGCTGTTAAAGCGTTTTTTTTTGTTTTTTTTTTACTTTTTGCCTATATCTACTGCTTGCTAGCAGTAGATATAGGCAAAAAAAAAAAGAGGGGTTAGAAACCCTTGGAGGGAAAAGGCTGCAGGGGGCTGTGGGAAGTTATGTTTACTCGAATTAACCCTGTCTGTACTGTACTGGAAGATTTTATTATCAGCTGTAAGCCAGATTCAAACACTATCTGTCTTACCAAAGTGTTTAAGACTTAGAAGCGTTGTATGTTAATGTAGAGCAACTCTATCCCTCTACTTTCATTTTCAAACTGCTCCGAGTAGCTTGAAATCAGCACAAAGAAACAGCTGAAAAGTAAGAAATCTATTTATGAAAATTATATTTAGGTATGCTGTGTGACTGGGAGCACCACCTGTATTTCAAAAGTTTTCAAACACATATTGGGGTTTTCTTAAATATGACTGCAAAAAGTGGAAATACACTTTACATGGTGACAGGGGAGGCAGTCTGAATGTACTTGTGGCTCAGAAAAAAGTGGGATAGAGAAAGAGTAAGAACTGGCACATAAGCAGTAGGCTGGTGTAATAACACCTGTGCAAGCAGGAGGTCAAAATGTTTCTGTTGTTACAGACTGTGCAAGGTTTGGTATGCTCCCCACATTTCTTATTTACCCATTAAGAGACTACAGAAAAGCTATGCACCTTAATTTTTTCAAGCTCCTGAAGTCTTTCATCTAGTTGGTTTTGAAGAGCTTCCTTTTCACTGCTGAGCTGAGTGGACCGTTCCTTATGTGATCTTATCATTTCTTTACATCGCTGAAGAAGGTTCTCTTGCCGTTTCACTCTTACTTGCAAACCTTCTATAGTTTTTGCAGCATCACCATTTCCATCTGCACATAAGAGGATTAACATTTTAAGTCAGTGGAGCAAAAGGTACATTTTCACTACCACCAGTCAAATTTCAGTCTGTTTTTTTGTAAATTAAATTTCAATAAAGTTAATGGATGCAAATTTAAACACTTTTACAGAATATGCTGCAGCAGTCTTAAGGAATAAAATGCCATGTTACAAAGAAAAATGGGCTGCACAGCAAAATTTCAACCCTAGTAAAGTTATGTAAACCGTGTCTCTACAATCTTGTATAAGCTTTAACATCTTAATGCAATTCCAAAAATATTTTTGAATAGTTTTAAACCTGCAGTTTTTATTTAAAAAAAACCTGGCAATCCAGCCAGAACAATGTCCGTGTAATCTGAAACCGGAACAAAGGTTACCTGTGATAAAGTTAAAGTTAGATTAAGGCACCCGATCCCTTGCAAATAAGACACAAATAGCAAAACCCCTTGTTGTAGAGCAGTCAATGTTGGAAGGGTATGTCGCAATACCCACATAAAACTTAAGGAATATTAATTGCGAGTATAGGTTGGTAAGAAGGCTAATCAAGAGGCAGCTTCAGGGATGAGAAATCCTATCCTAGAGGGAGGCCCAGGACTTGAAATTCTGTGTGCTAGGCAGGTGGTTATTTTGTACATTTAGCTCTGCTGTGGGCAAGCAGCCAGCAACTCTCAGTGTTCAAGAAAACGAAGAACGGGTCAGAGAGTAGAGGTACCAACAGTAAAACAAAATTAAAGTGTGCGTGACTTAACATAGCGACCTACTATACTTATTGAACGTAGCTGGATTCTAGATGGCAGGAAACGGAGGATAAGCAGTCATTTGCATGGATGTCGGCAACTCTAATACCTGAGGTAATAGCTGATGAAGCTGCAAATAATGTCCTGGGTGGCTCTGGATCTCTCCAATGTAGATCCTAATGATCTATGCATGCTTTCCAACTCGATCATCAAATCCTGTGGGCATTCAAGGGAATTGTGAAGTATAGACTGCAGAGCCATCCAGATCTGGTTCTGTTTCAAACTTTCGGGCACCCCGTGAATTTTTAGTTTCACCTGTGGCCCTGAATGTCCTGGTTCTTCAAGATGCCTCTGCATTTCCAACTGGCAATGGCTGTGTGAGGTACTTTGTGGATTTGCTAGTTTCACCGTACTCCCTTTCTATCCACATTCTGTAGCCTTGTGACAAAGTTGTAGAGATCTTCCATAGATCCAACACAACAACGGCAATGGTGTGTATGAGATCAGTAGCCATTATTATAGGTTTGCCACCATGCAGGGTATTTGTTTGATATATGAGAGGATGTCTCAGTGTCTCCCAATTCCAAGTCACTGACCTGTTGACAGTCCAGGAAGATGGCAGGCTGGATTTGGATCATGTCCATAGGATCCTGGAGATGTTTCTGCCAGTCTGTGTGAGTGTAGGCCTGTTTTGTGGCGTTACAAAACAAATTTTTGCAATGCTTAAGATGAAGAAAGCTGTTAAATCTTAATATTTTTATCTGTGGCTCATGAGCTCAATTAATGTTCGGCCCTTCCTCGCACTCACCAAGTGACAGCATCTCTGATAATGTTTTTTTGCTGCTCAAGCAATGGTATTTAGTCCGGTCCCAGTGATGCCCACAAACCCCTCCCCCTATTTCTTGCACAGACATCACAAGGACAGAAAATTAGGAAAAAAAGACCCCAATAGGGAAACAAAGCCTAACTGTTTCCTGCTTTATCAAAGTAAAAACGTTATGGGATTTATACCAGCTGCGGCACTGTTGTCTGCCTCCCCTTCTTGGACAGGATCCTGGTTTTCAGGTTCTGACTGAATAGCTGTTGCCTCTGTATCCCCTTGTACGTTTCCAAGCCGCTGCTTCAGTAAGGTAACCTAAACAAGGAAAAACAACCTTGTGGTTAAAAAAATAAATGAAAAAAGTAAAAAGGGGAAATGCAAACATTAGCCATACACATTGTAAAAGGAGGTATAGACCTTCATACTATGTTGTTCTTCCTCAAACTTCTTAACCCACTTAGTGTTTTGTTATACCCCTGGGAAAAGATGGGAATTTATTGTCAACACACATGTTAAAATTTGCCTGACAATTCTTAAAAACCCAAAACAATATATGTTTTCTGATAGCAGAGAACCTGTAGAACAGAAATATGGTTGCAAAAATGTATGGTAATTATTTGCACAACTGTTTTTTTAACCACTTGCCGTCCGCCCGTTGCAAAAAAACGGACGGACGCCAAAGTCACATTGACGGGTTGCCGTAACTAGACGGCATTTTTTTTCTGCGCGTGCACGGGCAGAAAAAGCCCGTCCGATGTAAAGAGCCGTTACCGGCTTTTTCACATATACACGATCGGCGGCTCTATAGCCTGCCGATCCTGTGTATGTGCTGGCTGCATGACGCCCCCACCACCCCTCGAGTGCTGCCGCCCCCCCTCCTAAACCCCTCACCTTCAATCCAGGGATCCGCTACCCCATCTGCGGCCCGGGACCGGCTTGGAGGGTGTCAGGAGGTAAGATGGGAGGGAGGTCAGCATCTTCCTCCTTGCTGATCTCCCTCCGTGCTGTGAATGCAGAAATGATGTGTATTACATCACTTCTGCATTCACATGCCAGTCATCTGGCTGGTATAGCCAGAGAGAAGAAGCTGATGAGGTAGATCTGTGCTTCTGTCCTTTTGGGGTCCCCAGGTGACATTAGGGGTCTTAGAAACCCCTAATGTCTCCATAAAGAGGACCCGTCAGTGTGCCTTTGCTATTATATAGGGGGACTGGTTTTTTTACACTTAATGTAATAGCAATCACATTAAGTGTAAAAAAAAACATAAAAAGAGGTAAAAAAAATAAGTCACATATAAAAAAATAGGATTTTGGTACTCACCGTAAAATCCTTTTCTCTCCGTTCATTGAAGGACACAGGGAACAGATCGGAGATCTTGTACTGTAGGGTAATATCGCCACCTGCAGGAGAAGGACGCTAGGCACAAAACTAAAGACCAATCACAGCCTAGGGGCGGCCCCTGCCGGTGGCCAAAACCCCCCACCTGCTGACAAGTCTCCAGTTTAGTAACAAGCAGTAAAGGATTTTTTAAAAACCCCAAAATGTTTAAGTCCCTCACGCACATATACACGTAAATACGCATCTGGTGTGCCAGCACGCAAAAACAACAATTGCGCTACACATGTTACATATCGCCGCAAACGTTGGAGTGTGAGCAATAATTTTAAGGCCATCAATCACTGATAACACTAAACTGATGAGCGGCAAAAGCTTTTAAAGCATCACCTATGGCCAATTTTGGGTATTGTAGTTTTTTTAAGTTTCGCGCATGCGCAATTTTAAGGCTTGACATGTTTGGTGTCTTTTTACCAGACCGTCTTTTATATTTTACCAAAAAAATGGGTAATAATAAATGTTTTATAATTTAATATAGGGGAAACAGTTTTTTTTTTTTTAATTCAGTAATTTTTCCTTAATACAGTAAAAAAATAAAATCCCCAGTGGTGATACCAACAAAAGAAAGCTCTATCTGTCCCTAAAAAATTGTAATAAATTAATTTCAGTACAGCGTTGCATGACGGAATAAATGTCAAAGTACTGCAGCGCTAAATACTGAAAAATGGCCTGGTCAGGAAGGGGCTTTAACACCGCGAACTTCAAGTGGTTAAACATACATTTTCAGTAAACAAACAAAAATTCCAAAGACGAGACTGTTTTTGCATTCCCAGCCAGAGTAAAGCTCGGGGGTTAAGGACAAGGAGGTTACAGGTCAACTCAATCCAATAAATATTTTTATATGGGCCTTTGGTGGACACCTGTAGATCGAGCCACCTGATGGCTTTTATACAACTCAGAGACAATATTATACAACTCAGAGACAATATTAATGATATTGCTGTGCAGATCCTGGCCCCTCCAATCATAATTAAGGTATTACTGTTTCACAGCAAGGCTTCCCATTTACCTATCTGGCATTATGAATAATACTTAGCGGGAGTGGGACACCCTCACTGAGCATGACTGTAGTATTTGGATAAAACGTGGGAATACGTAAGGACAGTTTACTACTGCATTGATACAAGAAACCAGCATCTGATTCCACTTGCGGCCACCTCATAAAAATGAATCAGTTTAGTTGGTAATGACATTTAGTTTGTTGGGTGATGTTCTTACCTGAGTCTGTAATACACTGATAAGCTGGTCTTTCTCCTCCAAAGATGCATCAAACTCTTCCTGCAAATGTTTCTTGGCCGATTGGTCCATTTGGAGCTCCTGACAAAAAAAATAGGGTATATGTACTAATACAATATATTGTTAATTGTTTTATATCAATTTATTGCTCTGTACCCTATACATTATTTTAAAACATTTAGATAGACCTCATGCTGAATCTATATGCTACTTCACAGTAACAAGAAAAGTTAACAATATGCAGATTTGAAATGGTAAAGCATATAATCTAATGCCCAAAAAAAGGGGTTATTATATTGATAAAAACGATGTACAATGTAAGCAACTCTCTTCTGCAAAGTCCTATGACCATACCATACCATTAATTCACTCTCTATTGATACTGTTATCAGCAATCAAAATCTAATAGGCACCCGACACCACAGGGTGTGTTGGATCCTCTGTTCTGCTGGCCCCTCTCCACTGCTCCAGAAAGTCAAGTTTCGCATAGGAGCTTCAGGTGCCACCAGTTTTACATAAATTATGACACCAGTCTTACGTATATTATGATACCGGTTTGCCAGTAAGGACTGTGAAAATGCTGTCACAACAAATAAATAAATCATCATCTGTGAACCTGTTAACAAACTATAACTGCTTGAGCTATGAGAGAGGTACAGCTGATCTTCTGTTGACTTGACTAGATATAGATAGATAAATCAGTAGTTTGGTGCTTACCTCTCGCAGCTCTCCAATTCTCCTTAATGCTTTATCCTGGCTCTGGCTTAAAATAGACTTCAAAAAGAAAATATTGTTCACATTAGTTTGTATATTAGAAACACAATCACATCTCTGGAAGCACATCAATGAAACATATTTAAAGTGACATTAAAGTAAAAAATATTTTTCCCTCCCCCCAATGTTAATTAAAGCTCACATTAAATTATGTCTCTTAATCCGATCTTCCTCTTCTTTCCTGATGTTTTCAGCTGTCCCGCCAGTGATGCTGCAGGTCTCCGATCCAGTGCTGACTCCTGTCCTTGCTGGCACTTCCTGTCCCACGGTGTCTGCATGCAGCTGCACGCAGTCCATATACTAACCTTTTGTCTCTCCTCGTCTCCCGGCCGAAAATCTGAACTGCGCATGTGTCCGCCCCAAGATGCTTTGCGGCCGCCCAAGAATTTTGAGATTTTCGGACGGGAGCGCGCGGCAAAGACAGGGGTAAGTTTAAACCGTTTTGTGTTTTTTTTTTATGTTTTGTATATATATCAACTGCTTGCTAGCAGTAGATATATGCAAAACACCGGAGGGTTTAACCACCTGCTGTCCGGCCGTTGTAATTCAAACGGCCTCACAGCGGCTTATTGAATGCTGGTGGGCGTTTTTAAACGTCCCATCCCGCCTTGCTCGGCACGAGCGGGAAATCAGCCTGGAATGTAAACAGCCAGTCGATCCCAAGCTCCGCTGTGCCGGTGTGAGACCGGGACCATCACAGCAGCTCTGCGGCCAAAGATCAAACGGAGATCAGTACAAGATTTCCGTTTGATCTCCTCCTCCTCTTCGGAATGCAGGAAGTATCACTTCCGCATTCCTCTGTCACTCTCTGGAACAGAAACCGGAGAGAAGCTGGTGAAGCAGGTATTTGCTTAATCAGCTTCTCTAGGGGTCCCGTAGGTGACTTTAGGGGTCTTAAAGACCCCTGATGTCTCCATAAAGAGGACCCGTCACTGAAAATTGGCTATCACAAAGGGGGCTTGTTAGTCACCTATGTGATAAGTGGGGGAAAAAAAAGGTTTAAAAGAATAAGTTAAAAAAATATTTAAAAAGTCACATATAAAAAGGTAATTAAAAAAATGTAAACTTTTTTTAAGTCCCCGCCCCCCACATACACATGCAAACATGTGTCGAGTGCGCCTACGTGCGGAAACGACAATTGCACTCATTACGCCGCACGTTACATATCGCCGCGAATGTGGCAGTGAGAGCAATAATTCTAGGGCCATCAATCACTGATGACACTAAACGTATGAGCGGTAAAAGCTTTTAAAGCGTCACCTATGGCCAATTTTGGGTATGGTAGTTTTTGCGAGTTTGCGGGCGCACGCAATTTTAAAGCTTGACATGTTTGGTGTCTATTTACCCGACGTGACCCCGTCTTCTATATTTTGCCAAAAATTTGGGTAATAATAATTCTTTTATAACATAACGTAGGGAAAACAGGTTTTTTTTCCTCGAAATTTTCGGTACTTTTTTCATTATATAGAAAAAATTAAAACCGCAGTGGTGAATAAATACCACCAACAGGACAGGAAGGGGGTGTAAACACCCCGGTCAGCAAGTGGTTAATAACCCTTTAAGTTATGGCAATATTTATGTCAAATCACTATCATTATACTTAATATCTTTGAAAGCTTTTTTTACTGCCAAGGTTAAATAACACAAGTTGTAAGACCTAAAAAAACTAAAGATATTCATAAAGCATACATTAGGGGGCTCATGGATTAAATGTGCTAAACTCGCTCAGGTTGCTGACCTACAAGAAATCCACGACTTGGAAATGGCTCATAAAAACGCACCCTGGCCTCCTCCATTATGGAGAAGCTTGTGGCATTACGGCTTCGTTTGAAATCTCTCTGTTTGTTAAAGGCAAAGTGGACACTTGCTCGGTGTAGACGTACCTTTTATGAGTTTGGGCACAAATGTGGGAAACATTAGCTAAAGCTTTACGAGCTCAACGGGAATGGTCCTTTATTCCGGAAGTTCAGACTTATGGGCACTCTAGAGCGACATTGCTGAAGCCTTCCGACTATACATCTTTACACAATCTTAGATCCAATTCTGGAGAATATGGCACACCTTCCTTTACTGACAGTGAACACGTACCTGTTGGACTCTGGTATGCGCCTGTCAGAGGATAACATCTCCTCTTTAGAACATCGTCTCACCTTAGACTAACTCACACAGGCAACTGCTCAAACTAATACAGAGAAGGCACCCGGACCTGACGGGTTTACCTTAAGCCATTACAAACGTTATCAGGACCTTCTCTCCCCTTATTTTCTCAGAGCATTCAACAGCATCGGTACAGGAGGCTCTTTCCCTCCAGATGCTCTCAGAGCTCATATCACAGTGATCCCTGAGGAGGGTAGAGATCCACTTTGCTGCTCTAGCTACAGGCCTATTTTCCTTCTAAATGTGGACCTGAAACTCTTTACCAAAATCCTTGCATTAAGACATGCATCCATGATTACGTCAGTGGTCCACCCGGACCAAAACTGCTTTTGTACCCTCTAGGGAAGCCAGCTAGAGCCCTGGCCGTGATATATGCTTCTAAGTCTAGATCTCTCCCCTTCATGCACCTGACCACCGATGCAGAGAAGGCTTTTGACAGAGTACATTGGAAATACATGGACTCTGTTTTACAATATTTGGGCCTGGGTAAATGGATGCTGGCTTGGATTAGAGGGATTTATTCTCATCCTACTGCTCAGGTTAAAATCAACGTGCTCTATCTCATCCTTTGGACATTACCAATGGTACGAGGCAGGGATGTCCTCAATCCCCCCTGCTATTTATTGTTACTTTGCCACATTTTCTTTGTAAAGTTAGATCCCATCCGGATATCACGGGCCTCCCAGTTGGTACAGCTGCCCCCCAGAAAGTGGCTGCCTACGCAGACGATTTACTTTTCTATCTAAGCCAATCGTTTCCCTGCCTAATTTAATGGAGAAATACCGACTTGCAAAAATATCCAAATTTCCTCATCAATTATTCCAAATATGAGGCACTCAATATCTCTATTCCGGACCCATTAGGCACACAGCCTTTGAACCTCCTTCTCTTTTAGATGGTCCACCTCAGCGATCAAATACCTGGGTGCTCCATAATACCCAGTAACCTTTTACCCTTAATTTTCCGCCACTACTTCTCAAATTGAAACAAGACTTACTCCGTTGGTCTTCTGGCAGGTTCTCCTGGTTTGGGAGGTGTAATATTATTAAAATGAACGTTATGCCCCAGATTCTATACCTATTCCAGATGCTACCAATAAAAATTCCGGCCTGGTTTCTGAAATCACTAAATGGGTTGTTCTGTGGGCATACAAACCTCCTTGGTTAAAGTTCTCTCTCATACGCCTCTCTAAACTCCATGGTGGAATTGGAGTGCCTGACGCGTCGCTTTAATATGCAGCCTGCCACCTTTCACATCACGGATAATAGATTCACACATTGTATTTGAGAAGGTGTGTACACTCTAAGTAGTAACACAGTAATAGATCCATTCCTTTAAACACTAATTGAACTATTAGCGCTATACATTTCGTAAAACATTCAGTTAGACCTAGTTGTCTAGAGTGCAGCAGCTTCTAATTTACATTTTAGAACACCTATTAGGTGCAGATTTAAACTAAAACACAATTAACCTGCCACCTCGCTTGAATTATAGATTGGTGCAGTAATAGAAAAAGGACAAGGACATAGTGCATAACGTCCAATAAATTGCCATTTATTAAATAAAAATGCGTACTAACAATGGAACAAAAAATTACATGCATAAGATATTGCTGGATCAAACCTACGTACGTTACGTCAAAACACGTGACCCCTGACGGAGTCACGTGTTTTGACGTAACGTACGTAGGGCAGAGCTTTTGATGTTACTGCACTGAGCTGAGCCAGTCGAACGGGGGTTTCATCGTCTTGCTGCCACTTGCCTTGCTGGTTTGATTCAGCAATATCTTATGCCTGTACTTTTTGTACCATTGAGTACGCATTTTTATTTAATAAATTGTATTTTATTGGAATTTATGGACTGCGTCCTAGTCCTTTTTCTCTTTCCTCCTGTATTTAAGCTGGTACTTGTGATCTGAGGAGACCTTAATCGCCTTTACTGTGCGCAGCAGCTGGGACGGATCCCGACAATACTTTTGAGAGATGCCCAGCTGGCTGATTGACAGCGGGCTCTGCCTATCATACCTATGTCCGCCCCCTCCCCCGTCCGTCCCTCCAGTCAACACTGGAGGATCGGAGAGGGGAAGGGGAAATCCCTGCGGGGAGCCGTGACTGACTGTCACCCATCTCTGCAGGGAGATCGGGAAGTGAGCGAGCGATCAATAGAGTCAACGTATGACAGTTTCAATGTCACACGCCGGCTCTAACTATGGGGATGAGGGTAATTCACTCACACCATAGTTCTCCTTTAAGGAGGACTTGAGGCAGAGGTGTTTGGTGTAAAATATGCACACTCTAGTAGCATCAAAATGAGTCAGAAAATGCACACCAGAGCGCTCAGCAGACTCCCAATGATATTCTCCACCAACAATCAATGCAGGCTGCCGTCATCAAAAGGCCACCGGGAAGTACTACTCACAAAACATGCAAAACAAGCAGACAGGGGCTTGTCCAGAGCTCTGAGGAAGGGGGTAAATTCTTCGAAACGCATGAGCTAGCAAGGCAGCTTTGTGTGGCATCTGCCTTGTACCATTCATCCAGTGATTACCATGCGAGTAGTATTTTATGTCAGCTTGTATGTTCATTGATTAAACTGTATTGCACGAGGACAAGGAGCTGTTGTTTGTTTTGCAAGCATCAAAATGAGTTATATAACATATCAGCCTTGTGTATACTCTCCACTAAAAATTAATGAATGAGTGCATTTTCACTTTTAGTAAAGAAATATGAAACTGCTGCAATTTACAGCCAGTAGGGTAGCAATAACATAACCTTAGCAAAAGACAAGTATAAATACAAAATGCCCCACCTGAAGTTTATCTTTGTCCCTCTGAACTGTTCTATATGCTGTAACCAACTGCAATGAAAACAAAAAACTAAATTAAAATCAAATACAAAATAACAATTTTAAGGTCTATTAAAAATACACTGATAATATGATTACGGACATATAAATATTTGTGTACATATATTGAGTCATAGATTCTTTTTTTTATTATTATTATAATATTATAGGTATTATCATTAGTAGCAGTATTACTATGTAAATGTAGAAATATTTGAAGTCCTACACTCATATCTTTGCATTAAAATTGTTTAATTTAAATTTAGTTCTGGCAGTAAAAAGAAATAAATATAACAACAAGCTAAACACATGAATGAAAAGTTGCAGCAAATTCAATAACAATGTATTAGAAGCAAAAAAAAGGCCTTTCAGATGGCATGCTCGGGTCGCCATGCACACATTGGTTTGAAACTATGTACCACTATCACCCAGACAAAGGCTGTCTTTGTGAGCTTTCGACAGATGATTTGTGTTGGACATTACCCAGTCTGGCATGTCATTCCTCCTACATGACATAAAGAATGTGCATTGCATGGCAAGAGATACAAGCAGAAGAAATAGTAAAAGGAGGAATTAACAGCTCTGCAAATATTTGCCTTTAGTAATCTGTAACCTAAGAATAACACATCATAAAGTGCTAAATGAATTTGTCATGTACAAAAATAGCTCAAACATAATAAGAACTGGTCAATTATGGTGCACATGATACACAAAAATAGAAACAAAGATTTTAAACACATTGGTAAGGGAAAGTGCATTTCCAAAATGGGATTTCTGTAAAAATCATTTTCTTGGCACCAACAGAAGGAAACAGGAAGTCTTTCACTTTTGGGTCACACTGCCACCTACAGGAGGATTAGACAATGGCAAAAAAATAAATAAAACTAAAGACCAGTCCAGGGTAATTCCTCCCATTACTAGCAGGCCTCAGTTTTGTAGCAAAAAAGAATCAAGAGATTGATCACAAAACAGAGAGGTCTGACCCGTGTCCCTTAATAGACACCAAAAAAAAAAGTTACAGTGAGTTGAAAAATCCTATTCACTTTCTCTGGACTGGGACTGACGGTAGCTTAATGAGCCACCTGAAGGACCTTATGCCCAAAGCTGGCATCAAATCAGACAAAATATATCCACACCTGGTAAAACTTGGATAATGTGTGAACACAAGACCAGGTGGCAGCCTTGCAAATCTAGGAAGCAGTTACTTTCTGCCAAAAAGTACTCACAGATCGAGTTGAGTGCTCCTTGACAGGAAAGGGTGGAACCCAATCCTTGAGACTATAAGCTTGGGTGTTGGTCTGCTTGAGCCACCTAGAGATCTTGAAACAATAAACCGATGCACCTTTACAGGGGTCCATCAGGGATGACAAAAAGAGAATCCATATTCCTGAAAGAAGCAGCCGCTGAGAGACTCTTTCAGCCTGTACTACATTCAGACAATGGAGAGAAAATTCCTTTTGGTAAACTGAAGCCTGACAGATAGACGCAAGAACAATGTTTCGGTTCTGGTAAAAGTAGAAACCACCGTAGGCAATAGGGAAGTCCTGGGCCTAATACCACCTTGTTCTTATGCAAAACTGGAATAGATTTAAAGTTAAGGCCGCCAGTTCAGAAACTAACCTTGTAGAGGCGATGGCTACAAGAAACACCATTTTATGGGTGAAAGTAGAGAGAGATATGCCTCTAATTGTTTTAAACCAAGGTTTCTGAAGCAGAACCGGATTCAGATCACACTGAGTCACAGAACGGACAGGGGGAGCTACATGGGAGGCCCCTTGTACTTAAAGAGTGAGAAGAAAGAGTGCGCTAAAACCTAACCTTTGATAGTGATGAGTGCCAAATTCTTGGCCAGACTCAGCTGCAGGAACGAGAGGATTGGTCCCATAGAAAAACCCCTGGAATGGAAGACTCACACCAAAAGAAGGATGCCTTCCATGTCCAAGGAAAAGGAAAGACCTTGAGTAGACTGTACTGATTCCATGGAGCCACCAGAGCATCCACTTCTTCAGCTAGAAGATCCCTGTGCCTGAAGACAAACCTGTCTAGTTTATTGTTGAACCTAGAAGGAAGCAGGTCAACATCCAGTGTTCCCCACCCGCGACACTGTTCCTGGAAAACCTCCAGATGTGGGGTCTACTCTACCAAGTCCAGGCACTGCTGGCATAGGAGGTTCACCTGCCAATTGTCTAGGTCTTGAATGTACACTGTGCACAAGACTGGGATGTGAAGTTCTGCCCCAGACAAGATCTACATAGTTAGTTAGGTTGGCAAGTCCATCGAGTTCAACCTATAGAGATATGGAGAAAAAAAAAAAAGGGAAGAAAAGCCTAAACAGAACGCTATGCCCATAATTACCTACTGCTGTTGATCCACAGGAAGGCAAAAAAAAAACCCTATAAAAGCATAAAGATATGATCTAACCTTCTTGACAGAGCAAGACTTATGGCTCCTTCCTGATTTTTTTTATTGTACACCACAGCTGTGGCATTGTTCAACTGAATTCGGGTCGGAAGACCCTCTAGGAAGATGGCCCAACATTGCAGACAGCCAAATCACTCAAATGTCCAGGATGTTCATCAGGAGAGGAGAGTCCGCTGGCATCTTTTGTGAGGCAGTAAGGAAGGAGTCGTGAGGTCAGGGAAAACCTGGTCCTGGGTAACAGATACATTGGTTTGTCCTGAGACTGGACCGGCTTGTCCCACGATGACAGAATGTTGTGTTATAGATATTTGGAGTGAAATTGGGTAAATAGGACTGCATCCTGAGGGTATCATGAGACCTGGGACTCTCATGCAAAAGTCTGAAGTTTCCCCTGTGAAAGGACCACTCTGGCCTGAGCTGTGCCCAGATCTAGAACAAGACAGTCCAAAGGATGACTGAAGGTTTAGGATCCATACAATCATTGCATTGTAATGTAGAGAAAAGTTTTGGTTGAAGAAAAAAATAAAAAAAGGCTAGCAAAAAAAACAAATTGAAAATAAATTAGTCTTTAAGAAAGCAGAGATGCAGAAAAGATGTTCATAATTATAGGACCCTAGCAAAAAAAAGTGAGCCAATGCTGGTAGTTGTAGGAAGTTTCCCAGACTGGCTTTGTGGTTTTTTTTTTGCCAGTTTCAAATCTTGTGTAGCAACTACTTGTGCTGCTTCACTCACCCTCTCTCTGAGCCCTGCTGTACATGGCATGCAAGAGGCCAATACCAGATCAAATGACATTTTTTTTAAGGCAAGCAATGTAATAATAGTTACAGAACTGCATTATTTTGTTCCCTTTATACCTACCTGAAGTTTAGTTTTAACAATATCTATCAGAAAACAGGACAGATTTTAACTTTGTTATTACCAATTTAAGTGATTTTCAATAATTGTGAAAATCACTTAAGTGATCTCCCATGAAATGTAGGTTAAAGTGTTAAATCTATTCAAAACAAATCTGTTCTTTTCCATTATTTCTCAAAAAATGTAAAAGTGCATGAAATGGGAACAGCAGGCACTCCAATGACAACAGAACGCCAACAAAAAAAAAAAAACTTGTTATATCTGTTTAGGATAGAGTGGCAAAGTGTTAGAACCTTGGACAGGCTTTTTTTTATGTCTGTTAGTGAGATTCTCACTATATCCTCACTATCATGCAAGAGAAACCCTGGCAAAAGAGACAAAGTGCAACAAAAGCACTTTTAGTATAGTGAAGAATAGTTAAAACCCCTGAAGTTTTATTTGTATTGCCCCCCTGACCCAGGAACTCTTGTTTCCCTTACTTCTTACTGGTGTCCAAGAAAGAAAAAAAATGAGGAGAAATCTCACCAATGGACAGCAATAAACATTTGGCATTCCAATCCTTGGAATGATATTAAAAATGTTTTGGCAGGGGTTGGGCTTTTAGTCTTTGTTATATACCTGCAGGTTTCCCGTCCAAAAACCTAAACCTTAAGTCTAATCTCAACAGGTACTGCAATTTATCCATTTAAACAAAATGTACTCTTCACTTGAGGTCCCACCTTAAAATCCATACCAGACCCCCTATCTGGAATAAGGTCACACATCCTTTCTTTCAATTTTTACTCTTCAATTTTTCACATTTTAGACAGGAGTGCATTAAGATTTTGCATACTTTTGCATACAGGGAGTGCTGTGACTGTAATCAAGTAAGTAATGGAGTATTCTACAAAGCCCAAGTCTGACAATGCCCAATGCAGAGTAATAGTGGGGTGCCAAGTACCAGAACGCCCCTTGCATTCCTGCACCCAGAACTGTCTGTCTGGCGAAGTCATCTACTGATCACACAGCCCAACACGGAGATCACTCTGTCTAACAGAATTTCTGTAGTTCCGACCTAAAGAGCGGGGAGAAAGCAGTGTGGGAGCATGTGCTCAATTAACTAACCACTGAACATCAATGAAGGTTTTGTTTTTTTTGTTTGTTTTTTTATATATTGCTGTGGGGAGGTAGGAATTTATTGCTGCCACTGTATACCAAATGGGGAAGGAGGTATTTATTATCATTATATACTTGCTTACCTCAGAATATTTCCCTCTGTAATTGCCCAAGCTTTTCTCCATTCTTCGCAGCCTATAAAAAAGCTGTTCCTTGCTGAGTCCCTCCAAATTGCTCATGGAATCCTCAGTCTCACTTTCAATATCTGAAGAAGGTTCAAACATAGGACCGCCACCGTCTGCCTCAATTCGATTTAAGGACTCACGTGAACCGCTTCTTACAAGTGATTCTTTTGATGAAGAACGGAACAACGTCTCCTTCACAGGACTGCGAAATAATGACTCCATTGAAGGGACACGAAGTTGCAGCTTTTGTGCAAAAGACTGGCCCTCACTTTTCTGTAATGAAAGTTAAACTTAAAATCTTTCACAAATGTCAATAAATTATTAAGAGTTATAAAACGGGAACTCTTATAATACATGGAAGTGGTCACAAGCAAAGTCAAATCTTACTTCTAGATCTGACTGCTGTGCTTCTTTAATATTTAACTAATATTCCACAATGTTATTTATACAATAATTATGGCAGGGCATCTTAATCAGAAATGAGAAATATCTGACTTTACAATACATTAAAGCAAATTCTGGGGTGGTGCCATCTCCAGATTTTGCAACAATAAAAAAAAAAACATGCATGCATTACAGCCAGGTTTTTTATTTGTGGTGTTGAACATTTACTTTCAATTAAAAGTTCATTTCAAAATGATTGTTAACAATATTAAGGGTTAACATGCTTTTTTCTTAAAATGTTACAATTTTAAAAACTTTAAAGTAGAACTATGAGGCGAGTGCTTTTCCCTCATCCTCATAGTTCTAGCCGACCTGTGACAATGAAACTTTCACAGGCCGGCTCAGTAGATCGGGAAGTGAGCGAACACATACCGGCGTTCGCTCACTTCTCGATCTTGTCACGGCAGAGAGCCGCGACAGGGGAGTGACTGGATTCCCCCCTCCGATCCTCCAGAGCTGTAGCTCGCGGTATACTGAGCTTAGGGTGACGGGAGGACGCTAGTTTCTGTCCTCACGTTACCCTTAGTAGAACTATGGGGAAAAGCCCTGACCCCATAGTTCTCCTTTAAATAAATGCCTCCCTGCAAAGAAGCATTTAATACTTACCCATCCTTGCTGCTAGCACCATTGAACTCCACTGGGTTAAAGAGATAACTGTGCTGAAAAATCTTCAACATCTGGCACACTAATCAATCTGTTGGATGCCTGTTCCCCACAGCAGGGGGAACAGGCATCCAACACATTGGTAAATAATCCAGATGCCTGTTCCCTCTGCTGTGTGTTGTGGTTCATTCTGCTGACCTCTGTGTTCTTTTGGGCATCCAGAAAGGAACACCGGCATCAAGCACTTATGGAGGATCCTTAGCAAGCTTTTCTCTTCAGTATGGCGGCAGCAGAACAGTTAAGTGTTAAAGCTGAACTCCAAGCATTAAACCTCATCTAACATTTATCCCCTAACCCAATTGCTGAGTTTCTTTAAAAGAAAAATCCCAAGCTTACAGCCCAAAATACTAAATATGTGGCAAGGTGACATGCGGGATCCCAAATCTTTCTTGCTCTCTAGGGAACAGGCCTTCTTCAGGGTGCCCACATTAGTGCCTGGGTAGCAAACATTTCCTTTTGGCTACATGTGGCAGGGTCCTCTAAGGCGCATTGGATGTTCTTTAGAGGCGACCGCGCAGAGACTGCAAAGCTGATTTCACCAATTGGCACTTCCAAAAGGGATGTCAGCAAGAGATAGAGATAAGCTAGTAGAAATTAGTTTTACAAGTTATTTAATTTGAAAAAACTTGAAGGAAAAGAAGTGGGGGAGTGCCCGAGATAGGATTTCAACTGTTTGCTTTACGGAGAAGCATTTGTTTCAGGTTTCACGATTAGCAAAAACTTCTCTAAGTTTGTTCAGTCAAATTTCGCAGTAAGGGCACATTTTACACCTCTGCGTTACAACAGTACACTATAAATCCATTAATATGTGAAGATGTGAGGGGGATTCCCAAAAGGGATAGAAAAAGCAAAGATTAATTCAAATTTGAAATATATGGTTGTAGGCATAAGGCAGTTTTTGTTCACCGAAGGCCTAGGGAGTGGTAAAAGGAAAAATGTCTGAAGGCAACAGTGAAGCATGGTGGAGGTTCTTTGCAGGTTTGGGGATGCATTTATGCATAGGGGAGTTGGGGATTTCCTAAGAATTATTGGCTTCCGCAGTGCTAAAAAATACAGGCAGATACCTATGCAACATGCAGTATCATCAGGGAGGCATCTGATCAGTTCTAAACTAATGCTGTAGCAAGACTATGACCCTAAACATACAGCTAAAAATCACAAAGAACTATCTCTTACAATGAGTCTCCTGGAAGAGATGGTATGGCCCCCTACAGAGCACTGATCTCAACACTTAGTCAGCCAGGGATTACATAAAGAGACAGAAGCAGTTAGGACAGCCTGAATTCACAGAAGAACTGTAGGTTGTTCCCCGAGACGTTTGGAACAACTTACCTGCTGTTCCCATATAAAGCTGTGTGCAGCTGCGATACTGTTTTAACGGCAAATGTTGATTTGACTTGTTTTCTTTTTATACAGTTTGTAGGTTAATTAATAAATAAGAAAGGTTAATTTAAACATTTTTGAACACATCCTCACAAGCTGCCTAAAACGTTTGCACAGTACTGTGCATCTTATAGAACTGAAAAGAAATTTGAGATTGGCTTTGTGGCTGATTTACCTGACTTGAGGCAGGATCATTTCCATTTATACTGTCTGGAGACCTGGATATATTCTAGGTGAAAAAAAAGCACAGGGCACATTCATGTATATCTTATTTTAGTATATACAATCTTTAGGTCAAACTTTATAAGTCACATCAAGCCTTGTTAACCAATAGTTAAGCCTTGTTAAACAATTATGTCTAGAATGTCACGTTAGATCTGTGTAAAAATACTCAAGAATTAGTAGTTGTACTATTTCTTGCAGTTCAATGTATACATTTCTGAAGGTACAGGCAGTCCCCGGGTTATGAACAAGATAGGTTCTGTAGGTTTGTTATTAAGTTGAATTTGTATGAACTTGGAACAGGTAAATTTTTTAAGTGTAGCTGCAGCAAAAAAAAAGTTTTTAGTTTTAGATAGCATTGGAAAGGGTTGACCCTCTAACATTTGTTTTGCTGTCTGTGCCCCTGTTCAGAAGTTTTCACCTCACTTTCTGTCCCTGTGACCATTGGATTTTGGAAATTTTGGGTTGTCATGGAAACAAGAATTGGTGATAAAGCTTCAGTGGAGACACCTTTTTCCCATGATAACTCTTACAGGAGTGAATTTCCCTTCTTAGAGGTAGATTTCCTCTCACTTTCTGTTGTCTCAAGGACAGGAAGTGAGATTAAATCTTTCTAATGAGGATTAGACAGCAATAAAAACCTCACAGTGGCTCTAACCCCACACCATACTAAGCAAAACTAAAAAAATAACATTTGCATGGCGTTCTACTTAATATGCAACTTGGACAGATGTTTGTACAACTTCCTGTAATGTACAGTACCAGATCCAGAATATGAGGCGGTAACCCCTTGTCTGCATGCCTAATAAGAGCCAATTCCTGTACCGTACGTGCAGTACTATGAACCAGACCCAAAAGGGCAGCCACCCCTCCTCGGCACAAGCGAGGTAGCATTACAGCTACTGGAACGCTGTGCAGTACACTTTGGCTGCAGCCTGGGACCCCCTGCTGTATACCAATAGCCTCCGTTTGTAAGTACGCAATACGCAAGTCAGATGTTCGTAACTCAGGGACTGTCTGTATACACGAAAAAACTAATGGGATTGTTAATCTATTTCAGTAGCAACAGCATAATGTACATTTATTTAGTAGCTGAAGACACTGTGTGTCATCTTTTTTCCACAAATGATATACTGGAACGTAATTTGACTATAAGTCAGTGTACACAAACTGCAAAAACACAACTGCATTTATTGAATATGAATTCTGATGAGGTACAACACAAGTGTATACTTGGCTGTTCATTCATCAAACAAACATAGAACTGCATTAGTGAAAAGACCCCACATCCAGTTTTGGCAGAAATTAGCAGTAAGTTTGATTAATATGTTTGTTGATGCAAGAAATCCCCTTTCAACCACTTAAACCGAGTATTAGTTTGTAGAAATTCACATTACAGAAATCCTTAACACAACTGTTGTCTAAATTATGAACGATTTCTAAACTTCAATAAATCAGCAGTTTAAAGCTCTAAAATTTAAAATGCTCTAAATTGTAAAGCAATTATTTCTTGTTTGCCACTGATAAACTCCTTGATTCAAAATACACTTATTGAATTACTGTCTGTACCATCTTGTGGATTTGACAGGATGACTGACAGTAACTCAGTCAAATGAAGTAGAAAACAGGAAACAAACCCAAGTTTTTTTTTTAAATCTGGCATTCAATGTGGCATACAACACCTGCTAATATTGTTTGGACAGCTGTAAAGTAGGTGGTCTGTCATTGCTGTAAATGTAATTTAGCCAATATTAGTAAGAGTATGTTACTTAAAAGAGACAGGACAACTTAAATTAGGACCATATATAGCTCTAACTATATATCATTGGTATGTTGGTTTTCAGCTCAGAGAACCAGACCCATTGTAGTTCTCTTTAAGGGTCCAAAACAAGCGTTAGATGAGTGTGTTGCACATCCCGTGGCCTCTAACCCTAACGGATAAGTGTTACTAAAGTATAGATAAAGCTAAATGTTACTTATTTAGGACATTTTTCTGGTTCCTCTCTAGGGAGATCAACTCTCACTAAGGCCTGGTTTACACCTGTACGTTTTGTAGCGCGTTCAACGCTCTACGAACGCTCTACAAAACGCTCAAACATTAAACTCCCATTGTTTTCTATGGGTATGGTTCACACTTTGCCGTATTTCAGCCTGTCTGAATGCGCTACAAAACGGCCTATGCCTGAAAAGGTACATGAGCTTCTTTGCGGCGTTTTTGTCTCGTGTTTCCATTGGGATAGAGCCAGGTAGCCCTCGGAAACGCGCATTTGTCGTGCGGTTTTTTTACCGCGAATCGCGGTAGAAACGTGCGACAAATGCGCATATTCGATACGCCTAGGTGTGAACAGAGCCTAACTGTCCTAATAGCCATGGTCACTGGGACAGAAAGTGATGTAAAATCCAGAATTTTACAGTTGTCACAGCAACAGAAGGTAAGGGAACATTCTTCAATCTGGACACCTATCCGGGTAACTGTAATGCTAACTGTCTAAAGGTCGTTTATCGTTAGCAGGACCCATTCCCAGTACCGGACATATACTGTATATTACATGTGAGACTTTTCTCGGCAGAGATCTGTATGGCCTGCCCGACACAACATAGTCAATCCACAAAATCATCCTCACTGGCCACTGATTTCTTATACATTTAATTGTTGGGTTACCGTAAGCTTTTTTGAAAAATATGATCCATAAAAATGATAAAAAACAGATATCAGAAGAAAAACAACAAAAAGAAAAAAGGGAATGGACAGCACATTCTGATTAAACTATTTTCACAGGCAAATAGTGATAACACCTTTTTATATTCATTACATGTTGCCATTTATTAGATCTTCTAACAAAAATATTTAACAATTGCTGCTCACATTTTTAAATTGAGCTAGGAGATGCTGTGGAATTAGAAATAGCCACTGACAAAGTGTGACGTAACGTGTAGGGTGGAACCAAGCATCATACCTGGAAGTGGAATGACTTTTTATGATACTGCTCCGTACTGGCGAGGACAGCGTTTACATACAAAGAGTCTGGCCAAGACACAGTGTATTAGAGCTTGCTGGAGCACTTATTTTAGAATAGCTGGATGGTTTTATTACTCAAGGTTTTGTTTTTTTTATATGTTTTAATAAACTTTAGTAAACGGGTTACACTGTGTGCCATCTCTTTTTACACGAGTTTTATGCGACATGGGAAGTAGGGCTGCAACAACTAAACAATTACAAAAATCGATGAGATTAGTTGGGGGTAGAAAGAAAAAGAAAAGAAAGAAAGGACTTTTTTTAATGCAACTAATCGAAAAAATATTCATGCAACTAATCGATTATCAAAATAATCGTTGGCTGCAGCCCTAATCAGAAGCCAAGAGAATCGAGAGTTATCCTCTGCCACTGCAGGAAAGGGGAAGTAATTGACCATACCAAAGTACTTCAGTGGTGGTCATACACAAAAGGTGAGCAGGGATATGTTTTGTACAGTATCAACATACCATCCCACCTCTAATTTTATATATACATATGTGTGTGTGTGTGTGTGTGTGTGTGTGTGTGTGTGTGTTCTTCTCCTGCTGTAAACCCTTTTGATTATACTTACAAATACAAAATTTGAATGCAAAAAAAAAAGAAGAGAACACAAGCAGGATTAGGGGAAGAGCATGTTTTTAGCACATAATTAATTAATTATGTTAATTCACATTGATGGTGATACTGCTCTGAAAGAATAATTCTTATTTGGTCTTTCATTAGTGGCGACTCCTAATTGGAGTCTCTCCTCACTAAATTATGGACTGAGAACACTTCCAATTCACCAGACTATGGACTGAACACTTTGTGCATTAATATTATTTTGTTGTCACTGAGTGGATTTGTTATTTTGTTTTTATTGTGTGGATTAGTTGTTACGTTTCTTATGCACCATTTAGGCAGGAATTACACCAAAGCGTTTTGGCACGTAAATACGCGCGTCTTTTCCTGCATGTTTTTGAGCGTTTTTACACGTATATTATGCGTTTATATGAGCAGATTGTGATGCGTTGAAATCTATGGACGTTTCCTATTGACAATATGGGGCCAAAACGAGCGGAGATCTCCAAAAAAGGAGCTTATGTACTTGTTTTATGGCGACAGGCGTTTTGCTTATTGTAACAAAACGCTTAGATGTGCACAGGAGCCATATGAATGAATGGGAATTTTTCGGTGAAGCTTTTGATCAGGCTGAATCCACTGCGACAATTCACTTTACACTGGTGTGAACCAGGCCTTAAAGTTTATTTACTGAATCCTTCAAAGCACTACACTATTGTTCAGCATTTTACGGTCTGGTTTTACTGATAACCAGAGCTCCATTAGAGCGATATTACCTCACTTTCTGTTATGGGGACAATCTTTTACCAGACAGGAAGTAAAAAATCTTCAAAGGGGAAATAGACAATAAAAAGCTGACATGGGTTCTAGCATTTCCATACTTAACTTAAAAAGCATTTTTACTTCTGTCTGTGTTGCTGTTGGAGAATTTCCTTTACTTGCTTTCTGGTGAAAAGGTTGCCTGAGGGACAGTAAATAAGGGGACATCTCTCTAACAGAGTCCCAGACAGTAGCAAAACCAGCTCCTAATCCTTCCCCATTCTATTCAACACCTAAAAAAAAAAGGTTTGGGGCACAAATACCAAAAGCTGCATTGTTAAAGTGTATCTTGGATGCAAGTCAATTTAAAAAGTGCTATTCATGTTGATACAGTAAATCCAGCAGGTTAACGAGTTGATTAAACAAAACTGGAATCAAACTTTTTTCACTTTTGGAGCATAACCAACAGATACAATAAAAGGAGAATAAACCCGTTTCTAAAAGTATAAGATGAACTTGAATGCTTGTGTTAATTGAGTAGGGAGTTCTGTAGGAGCCGGACTGTGTTTGGTGAAATTACTATTGACCAAGAAATTAAATCCCACCCAGTTAACTTTGCCCTGAAAAAAAGCTTCACATTTAAACATTCCTGGTGAGCAGGAAGAGGTAGA